TTGCCACAGATACACGGCATGCAAATGCTATCTATCTATCTATCTACATGTACATATATGTGGATACATAATGTATCTAGACGGATCACAGATACAAGGTGTATCTAGATGGATGTGTGTGCCTGGATTTGAGCAAGTAGATGGATAGATTGGCGCACGCTTCCATTTGTCATAGGGCATAAGACCCCTACTTATCCGAGATGACAGTTTTCCTTTTTGTTTACTTTTTTTTTGTCTTGCATACCCTCCTTTTATAAATATTCATTTTAATTATTTATGCAACCCGATTCGAACGGAAGCCCCGTGCATTTTGCATTCGCCGACACTTCGGGCCGCAACAAAAGGTAAACAAATACAGGTGGTTCGGCTGGTTCAGGTGCTTTTAACCAACTTGTCTTGCTCTCTCTCTCTCTGTCTTTTGACCACTTGGTTGAAAATATTTAAAAAATCCACAGAGGGATAGCGATCTGGAGAGTATAAATACTAGTGAGTAGCGGGTATCATTATGCAAAATATATTACTATCCCCTATGGCGCCTAGTTGGAAAAGCACTCCATAAACAAAACTGTCAAATCAGCATTGATAGCTAAACCACAATCTTATCAAAATGTACTCCAAATACCTCAACGAAATACTCAAAATAACTTCAAAGGAACTTAAAACTAGCACACAAATTCCTAAAATAAATTAAACCGCCGAAACAGATAGACAGATATATGCATTACTCATTGAATAGAATCTTAGGAAAGAACAAAAACCACTTTAATACACTTTTTCCTGTAATATGGTTTTAAAGAAACCAACAAAACCCGAGAAAGGGAAAACCCATGAAACTTGTAATTCTAAACACAAATGATATAATATAATCTTATCAGGAGGTACTTCAAATAAGTAAAAGCACTTAATGGTATGAATATACAGAATTTAATAAAATTTAAACGGAAATGTTTAATCCAAAAGTCTTCAAGTTACAGAGTGCCAAAGGTCTTTAAGCGAATATTACTCATACGACACGTAGGCTGCTTTTAAATTTTAGCATAACTAATTTAATAGTTTAAACTAAGTTTCGGTTTGTTTTAAAATAAAAACAATTATTTTTTATGTTGAATATTTCCTTAAAAATAGTTTTTATGTCTCTGGTCGGCCAGACATATTTATTTTAGCATTTTAAATTATTCAAAAGTGTGTGCTGGATTTAGATCTTTGTTTTTTCGTTTATTTTTTTTTTTTAAATTCATGAATTATTCATGTTTTTTACTATTTAAGGCATGCTTCTTCCTTTTTAAATTGAAAGGCACTGACCTACACAAACCTTTTTTATGATATTACGTAATAAAAGCAAGAATGTGCAACACACACTCGAAAAAATTAAAACAGAAACAACGTAAATTGCAATGCAATTAGTGGAAACGGCCAAGAGGGGAGAGGTGGGCTGGGCAGGGGGCGGTACTGGACCGGCTTCGCTAATTAGAGAATCCCTCTATCTCGCTTTCTATCTACATATCTATATGAGCGACTATCTCTGTCTCACTCGGCGTTTTCCGCCACCGCCGAACCAGCCAAGGTTAAAACTATAAATAGATATGGAGAAAAATCAACAACAAATACAACTGCAACAACAAAAACAACAACTATACTAATCGACCAAAACAACAAATGCAAAAAAGTATAAATAAAAACACAATAAAAGCAAAAAAAGCAAGTTGCAAAATCTATTTTTAGCTGACGGCAGCGAGACGACGACTGTAAGAAGAGTAGATGAAAAACTTGAAACGAAAACAAGACACGAAAAGCAAATACTAAAAGCTTCAAGTCGAACTTAAAATGATCTGTTATTTTTTCAAAGCTATTTTCAATTTTTAAAGCGTTTAAAAGGGTTTCATAGGACATACAGGATGAAAGTAATAAAACATGGCCACACTGTTGAGTTTAGGTCAAATCTGAAATAAATTTATAATTTGGTTGACTTAAGAAAATTGAAAAATTTTCCGAGGCAGGTGAAGCCAAAATGAAAGAAAACTACCACAATTTTAATAAAATATTAAACATTAAAATATTAAATATTATTAAAGAGAAAGGTCACACTTTAATAAAAGTAATTTAAAGCTCATTGAAGATTTAATAAACTTTATATTAGAGTATATAGTTTGAGAAATCTTTTGACACAATTATCTAGATCAAATAACTAAAAAAGATAAGTTTTATGCAAAATATTTTTAATAGAGCAAATAATACGCACTTAAATAGAGCATATCTTCAGAGCTTGTTTACCAAGATTACGGTTCCCTCATAAAAAGCCCATTCAAAAATCACATCACTCTTCGAACAATCACTCTTGACACTTTTTAATTGAATTATAAACAATAATTAATTGTATTTTCTTTACGAATGACCAGCCCTTGCCCCAAAAGCTAGACACGAATAAAAAAATAAGCTGACCCAAGAATTTCCCATACATTGTGTCTTTTATTTCAGCTGGTAATTCTGGGTGCTTGGCCCACTTTAAAGCCAAAGTTTTTGGCAGCGGCAATGGGCCAAATTAGTTTACCAATGTGTGTGCTATATGTATGATATGCGGTGTACGTGGTATGTGTGGCATGGGGTAACCCCCCAACCCCGAAAATCGAATATGCTCCGACAAACTACGTGACAACAAACACACGCACTTCATAGGAGAGAGTGCGAGTTCGAGTCTCAGAAACGACGTCACAACGAAAAGTTCAAATACTTTGTGTTACTTTTTATTTTTTAATTTTTGCAAGAGCAAATCGCACACTCTGAAGGTATTAAAAAAAGTGTATATAGTATATAAGGGAAAAAGCACTCAAGTCATTCAAGATATCGATTCGCAAGTAGTAGACACACTATCTAAGATACAGAGGGAAAAATATAATAGACTATCTTCTCAAGACTTTTTAGATCTTAGGTAGTGTTTGAAGGGTTTTATTTTACTATCATCCCTATCGTTTCTCTCCGTGTAGTTGGTGCACTAATTGCCCTCCACAGAAGTGGGTGGGGGTCCAAGGGTCTTTGGCCAACTAATAATGCGATTACCCGGCTCTGAACGTTGTTTGAAATTGCAAACAGAGGAAAGCTGATGGAAAGGGCTGAGTTTTTCTGACTTGATGTTGATTTGTTGACTTTCTCGGGTTTTATTTCTGTTGTTAGTGCCACTACAGAAACTCACTTTAAATGCCACAAACAAATCCTATTCCCACAGCTTTAATTTATGATCCTTCATGGAAGATAATCAAACCACTATATCTCATTGAGAATCTTATTTTTTTGTCAACTGTTTCACCAAAGGAAATTTAATACAACAAACCAAGCAAACTACTATTAAATATTCGCAAAATAAACAAGAAAGAACATATTCTAAGACTTCTATAAATACAAATACCAGATATGCTCCCAATTTTATTTTTAGTCGCTCCGCGAAATTTGCAAATTTTCGAAAAAATCATTTTATCAATCATTTCCCAGTGCAACCTTGGTGTGTTTTTTCAAAGGCCATTTAATTTATGGGTAAAAACAAATTTTAAATATATATTTAATAAAGTAGTTATTGGAATAATGTTATTAAATCTCAAAATATTAAAATTTTCTTCACTCAAAAAAACTACTCTTTCAAAATAATTCTAAAACTTTTCAAGTATATCGATTACCCACTGTTTTCTGTCACATGACTGGGTCTTGTGCATTTGTGAATCGGGATTGGCCAGAAAACCAATTGTTGAAAATATACGAAAACAAACCATTAAACCATAAAAACTGCTCCTAACATCAATCAATCAATTTTTACCTTTTCCATGACGCTCTGGTAATTGGCGGAAAGGTAAGCAGTGCGGTAATGGGTGCGTGGTAAGTGGGCGGGTGATTAGGTTGCACAGCTAAGGCTTTTGGGTAAGAAAGAGAGACGGATCGGATCGCTGAAAAAGGATCGAAATGGGGAGCTTAATCGCCACTGAATAGATAATTACATGTGGGGACACCGACAATATGCGAGTGCCTGGCGAAAAAAGCATAACGGAATGCCAGCCCCAACTCACCACGGCTGGGAGATGGGAGAGTGTAGAGAGTGGCAGTGTGGCAAGGCAGTTCAGTGCAGGAGAGCGAGCCGAAACCGGCTTTGGATTTATAAATAACATAACGTTCGGCTTGCGAGAGGGCCAAACGAGAGATAGCGATTCGAGAGAAGCGTGTTAACAGTTACTGTTAGCTGCAAAAGTAAATTACAGGTAAAAATAAAGTTCTATTACCTAAATGGATAAACTATATACTTAATGTAAAATATTAATTGTATGTAGGGGCTTTTGTGATGACTGCAAGCCTAATGCCTTACAAAGCAATCAGTTTTGTAGCACAGTTTTCAGGGGTAAACTATTTGTGAAGAAAACAAGCTGGATTCATTGGAAAACTATTTCTGTTAATTAAATATTAATCATATAATTTACTTATTGTTTCTACAGATTGTAAATAAAAGAAGTAACAAAAAAAAGAACGAAAATGAATGAAACGAAATTTTCAAAGTGGATTATGACAAGTTAAGATTAAGATATATACTAGTTAATACATATACTTGTGTATAGATGCTTATATGTATACATAAGTAGCTCAATTTACAAATTCCTAGATATTTAATCTTTAGATACCAAAGAAATTTTCACCAAGCTGAATTTATGATTATATTATATCTGTATCTTGTATCTAACATAAGATATCTCCTATCCTGTATCTATATTTTCTTTAAAATGTTTCTTGATTATATTTCATGTTGTTTCCTTTTTTTTATAGTTTTATCTACAGATACCTGGAATTTCTAGGAACAAATCTATAGAACCTTCTAGACTATTCACGACTATTACAAAAAATACCTTGGGCACGTTTTTGAAAAGTGACGAACCTTAGTGCATCCATACTTTCGGGAGACACTGTAGCTAACAGAGCACGTCTCGGAGAGCGGCAGCGTTTCTTCGATTCTCGTTCGCAGCCGGCGGAGATACATATTCCAATTGGCTTTCGAGTCTCAGGCAGAGCAGAAGCACCAGAAAGCGAGCGGATAACCGAAAGAAGCCCAAGCACAAACCTTAACCGAAAACCGTAAAAAGCACGAAAAACACGAAACGCAACGCAGAAAACCAGCCGTGCTTCGTGAAATATAACCAGCAGCCCACAAACCGAAAAAAAACTAAAAACACAGCGACAGAAAGACAGAAAAACACAAATCCAAACCGAAACTCAAACGGAGCGTAGTAAATAGAGCGACTTGGATCAGAAAAATCAGTACTAAAAAAAAATAATAGAAAACAAAAATATATATAGGAATATACGAAAGAATAAAAGTAGGAGCATATAGAGACGCGAACCAGAACATCAGTCAGTCTTTCGTGGGCCGGAAAACGCGCGGAAAACTTAGTGATAAGCGCCCGATTGCAGTTCCATAAGTTATTATATTTTATTTTTGTTCGAGTGAAAGTTGTTTCCTGGGGCCCGGGCATGAACCGCTCGAATAGCTTTGTCAGCTCCCTGAAGTGGTGGCCCCTGCAGGGCCACAACAACCAGCCAGCCAACAACCAGGCAGCTCCACCTAGCGGCGGCTACTCCCAGTCGGCACCCAGCTCGCCCACCTCCAACTGGCCGCCACCGCTGCAACAGCAGCAGAACCCGCTAGCACTGCGCCACCATCATCTGCCCCAGCACAAGTCCTCCGCCGGCGGGGGCATTGTGGGAGCCACCTTCGGCAGCAGCGTCGCTGTCCAGAAGCTGCGCGAATCCAAGTGGTTCAAGCCCGAGGAGCAGCGCATCTTCTGCGCCGTCGTCGAGTGCGGCTTCATAGTTGAGATACGCAGCAGCGCCGCAGCCGAGGCGGCAGCAGCTGCCACAGCCGCGGCCGCAGCGGCAGCTGCCTCGACCGACCTGGATGAGGAGGACGAGGACGCACTCGACTCGCTCGACGGCCCGCCGTCAAAGCTGGCGTTGACGCTGGCGCCGGCGCTGGTGATTCCGCGCAACGGAAGCAGCTTCCTGGAGACGCAGGACGAAAACGAGACGCCGGTGGCCTCCTGGTACGGCATCGTCCTCTGCAAGGTGGCCAAAGGTGAGTACACAGTGAACCCCCTTTCCAGAGGACACTAGGTCTTAAATGCAATGATGCAATAAACCCTTATCTGTGCACTTTTGTTTAAAACCATTCATAATCTTGAAACAAGATTAGGGATATATATTTTATACGAATGGGAAAAGTTTTACTTTCTGGCCCCTGAGTTCTGCAAAATGTATCAGAAAACGGTCATACTAATGGCTTAATAAAAATGCATATCATATGACACAATAGGCATTGCAACAAATCTAGACGTAATCCTTTTCCATACACCTAGTTTGTCACTTTTTTTTTTATCACACTTGCAGTTTGCTTTCTTTATCATTTGCATTAATATAATATATGTATCGCTGGGATTAAATATTTCTTTGTGATTTTGTTTACTCGGTTGGGGTTTTCGTTATCGTTTTATTACGGTTGACTAATGCGCCCATGGATTATTGCCAACAATTGTTAGCAATTGTGAATTGGTGGTTTTTAGAATGAAATTTATGTAGTCTAGAAAACAGAGCTGGGAAAAGACTTTCTAAGCTGTGATTAACTTTAGGCCTTCATATTATATTTTTGCTTCAAAAGAAATGTAATAGAAAACGTTGAAAAGGAAAACAGTGTGGCCTTAGGTAATTAACAAAAGGCTTAGTGTGGTTGTTTCCTTGAAAATTAAATTAATTAAATAATACTACAAAAAATAGTAGAAAAATAGACTGAGTTTTAAAACTATTTTAGAAATTGTTAAAAAAATAAGAAGTGTGACCTTAGCTGAATAACAAAAAGCTTAAGTGTGGCTGTTTTTTTTTTTTAAATGAGAGAAACTTTTAGTTAGAAAATAAATATAAAAAGTTATTTTAGAAAAAAATGTATAAAAAATTTTTAATAGTTTAAAAAAAAATATAAAGAAAGTGCAGCCTAAGATAAAATAAAAGTAGTTTGTCTTTTTCCCTTAAAAGTTTGAAAAAACTAAAAACTTCTTTAATCATTTTTTTGTCTTATGGGAATAATCACTGTAGTTGTCTAAATCGTAAAACCCGCCTCAACCCAAAAGTTCGTCCGTAATGCTGCCTTTGATGATTAATCAAAACTTCAGACGTCAAAACCGAAAAGCTAATCTCTCCGCTTTTTTTTTTTGGTTCTCTTAATTTCTTACTTTTTTTTTTTGCAAATATTGGGGCTTGGACAAAATTCTAAAATGTCATTCAATAAACAAACAACCCACACATGCGCACTGGAATTGGGTGTGTATGTGGCTTTTATCTAATCGGCAATCCAGCAACAACAACACCAACAACAGCTACAACAGCAAATGTGGCTAAAACAAAAAAGCTATGAAAGTGCGGCGCCAACAACGCCGTTGACGTCGCCGCTTACAGGAGACATTCACAATGATGCGCCGACAGCTGCTAGAACATTCCAAATTGTTTCAGTGTATTTTTTCTTTTTTTTTTAAATATTTTAGTTCGTGCGTAACTGCAAACACAACAAACAAAAAAAAAACCCACAAGACAAAAAAAAGTGAAAAGTAAACAAAGCAAACACACGTCGGAGGCTGCGTTCTGTCTTTTCAAACACCCAAAAAAAAAAAAAAACATCATGTGCTCCAAGTCACGCATACAGATAGTACAGTGAACACTCGTATCAATTGAAACGGCAAACAATCATTAAATCAAGTGGTGAAATATCGCTGATAACATAAAGCAAGGTGTGTGGGAAGGAAAACTTGATGGGACTGCACTCTCTGGTGGGCATGGTGAGATACGTTTGGGGGGCCTACGCATTTGGGGCGAATACTCACCACACCCACGGGGGGCACACCAGACAAGAGCGTCTGTTGCATCTCGTGAGCCGGCCAATAACCCACCACACGTGCAGCACTGCTCGCCCCCACACTGCATATACAAATATGCAAATTATTTTGCATTAATAAATATGTTTTTATTTTTATATATTTAGCTACACTGTGTCTGTAAAATAAAAAGAATCTTAGGAAAATGATATACTTAGAATTTAGAAAGGATTGCCAGATTTTTATGGGTGTTTTGTAAATTTTTTTTGTATTTGAATTTCAGAAACTATAAATTTTAATATTTAAAACTGCCTATATATTGTAAAATATATTCAAGATTTAAAATATTAGCAGTGAGTCTTTTGACATTTGCGAAAACAATATGTTTTTAATTCATTTTTTATGAAAGTACTATTTTTTTAATAACAAAAACTCTTCAAAAAAATGCTCATTCCCTTTAAAAATCGCATTTTTATTCGGTTTTTCCAACTTAGAGGTCTTAATAATGAAAATACTATAAAATGCACTTCATGAGTGCAAAGCAAGACACTTTTAAATTATTTATTATGATTCAGGGTGCTCGCGTGCTACTATTTCGAGTAAAAGCAATGGGTTCTGATGGGGCTACTGGGTGGTGTGGGTGGAGAAAAAAGGGCTGGGCAAAAAAAGAAACCTCATCAGAAGGCAATCAATATTGAAAAAAAAGCACTGCATTCTGCTGCTAATCGCTTGGATTGTTTTTTCTTTTTTTTTTCATGCCCCTTGCTGGCAGAGACAACACTCTGATTATTGTCCAAGTAAATTACATGCTTGTATCACATACATATTAAAAGAAAAAAAAATTGCTAAAAAATGCGCATGCGTGCTTATCAAACGATATTTACAAAATGCTCCCATGACACGTCTCATTTATTTTATTTTCTATTAAAGTTTGATTGATTGTTGGGCGTTAGATGAAGGACCTAAGGGTTAACAGAATATATATTCATCTACAAAAAAAGTGGAAAATATTTAAAATTATTGATGACATTATTAGCCATGTTTAGATCACTCACAAAATGCATTTGCCCACCAATTACAGTGCCTGCCATTAATGGAATGCCATTAGGTACAAATTGGCTGGGGAATTCGTAGCCAAAAGCCACAAAAACATGCAATAATAATAATAAAATCCAGTCGAGTCATTCAACCACCCACTGACCGAGTGCTCCACAACAAAAAAAAATATTTAAATGCCTGCAAATTGGTTGAACATGGTTGAAATAAAAAAATAAATAAAAGAAAATAAATAAAAAAGAGTAGACAGTTGAAAAATACCATTAGACTAGGAAGAAGAAGCCGCAGTTGAGTGTAAAATACTAAGCAGTGCTAATTATTTTTTATGGCTGTTAATTCACAAATGCCTTAACAAGTTGCGCAAGCAACCATCATAACAGAGCACACATGACAGGAGCAGCGTGTGGCCGCCACTTCATCCTGGTTGTCACGATTATGTCACATGATTTCACAAAGCAGTGCCTTGTTATAGGGAGACTCCAGCACTTATGGTTTCAAATGATATAATAGAGAGTCTCTTCACATTCTATATGGTATCCAAATACTAAAAGCTTTAAGAATCTAACCCTTTTAAAAGAAAGTGCATAGACAGGTATCTGACAGTTGAATTAATAAATCAATTCCTTATGGTCAGTGCCTTTCTGATCAAGAAATCAAAATCAATTGAAAATTGCATTGAGGATGATTGATTGTCTGCCTGCCTGCCTGCATTTATATTTTCTCGTAAAAATGATTTGATTTTATCCGATTTCAGACAATAAACCCAAACCCGATACCATTGAGATATTTTCTGTGAAAATACGTGAGAATGGCACATACAAGCTGATCAAGATGGCATTGGCCGACATTTGGAGTCACGGCTGGGAGTTGAGGATCAATAATTTTGCCGACAAGGAGAAGGTTCCACACAACGAAAAGGATATACGCAATCAGGTAAATATAAATATACCATACTATTTAAAATTATATTTCTAATAATAAGATAAAAGTTTCAAATAGTTTGCTATTATAATTATTGGTAAAATATTTGGGTAGTCAGAATGAAAGTTATTATGAAAATTCCACCTAAAAATGTTTTCATATTAGGTTCTTTAGTTAAGGAATATTTAAGGATTACTTCTAAATCATTTTCCAATGTTTAAAAATTATTTAAGATTTTTTTGAGTAAATTTTAAGAGGTGGTAGACAGTCTTAGTTTTCACTTTAAGTTTTCAAAGACTTCAATTCTATGCTTTCATAGTCTCTATAAATTATTAATAATACATTTTATTAAAATTCCTTTTGTAGGTTTCGGTGGCCAGGAAGGCTAAACAGAGCCTGTGGAACAACAACAAGCACTTCGTGTACTGGTGCCGCTACGGAAGTCGTCAGCAGGATCTGCGCAAGCGACAGGTAACAACAAGTGCGAATCATGTGCTCCTGCACCTGATCAATTGATAAGCGGATAATGCCACGCCCCCTCACCAGCAGGGGGGGGTTAAAAAAAAAAAAAAAAAAAAGCAACGCCCAACATAAACACACACACACACAACACAAATCCATACACTGAAACAAGAACCTCTATACCCAAAACAAAAAAAGAAAGAATCCTTCTCCTATTTCTCCTCTTCCCGCCGCCGCCGCCCACATGCATTGATTGTTGTAGTTGCAGCAGCCAAAATAACCGAAAACAATAATACACTGACCGAAAAAGCTCACTTGAAACTAAAAACAAAATTAGGACTGCCAAGAAAGAGGGATATAACTCATACATATTATATATATGCGCCGACTCATGCTTGCTTAAATCATTCACGATTCAAATCTAGTGTAAAAAAAAGAACTCTGCTTGCCACGCCCACTGTCTGCATTTCTCCTATCCCCAGCATACTTCACAAGATATGTATGTTTCTATATAGAAAAGTGTAATATATATGTAAAACTATTTTTCGGAGAGACCACCAAACTACTGCAAACTACTGCCCATTGTTGATGTGATTGTGATCAAGCTATCCACTATATTTTCTCTCTCTGTATATCCATTTATTCCGGCCCAAGCCCAACCAGTATCTTGCATTTGTATCTTACAAATACAAAATCTATCTTGCAGATGTCGGAGTGCGTTAAATGGGGCAGCGTCGGCATGAACGCGGGCATGTTGCTGGTGCTCAATAATAGACAAAAAAGCTATTCCCACTCAAAGTAAATAGTATTCGTATCGATTTTAATTCTATAAATCACAACTCAAGAAACTTAAACCAAAAATAATGATCCCACAAGTTCAATCCCTCTTTCTGAAGGCGTTCTAACATCCTTTACACATGAAAAAAAAAACAACCAAGTATTAAAAAAACAGAAGTTAATTTAATAAAAACAACTAAGCGAGCGGCAGTATTAAAAAAAAAACAAACATTAAAAACAAAGAAATCATTTTGAAAAAAAAGGATTAGATAACAACAAACACCCACACTCTACACTCCTGCCCATGATTGTAAAGCTGTTGCAACTCGATCTACAATTTATATGTGAAACAAAAATCAAATTAAATACTTTTGTATTTACACAGAAAGAGAGAGAGAGAGACACACAAACACTGTGAAATTCGAAAAGACTTATTAAATATTTGTTTGTTTTAATTTTTTTCTTCGTCCTAATTATAATTATTATTTTTTTTTTTTGTTTTCCACTTGTGATTATGAATGCGTATATATATATACATATTTTTATTATACAACGTATATTATGTATTTATGGCCAACATAAACCATACTGGTAGCAACCAATGCAAGGCAACACCTTTGTTTTCTTTGTTGTTTAAGCTTAATTAACGAATTAAGAGATCCCAAGCCACAAGGAAAATTATGAAGAACTCTACTTAGCATTGTAAGAACCACAATCAAACATTCGAAATGTTTCGTTATGTATTTAACTCTATATTCTAATGAAATATATACATATATATTACATTAAATGACAAACAAGTGCAGACCCCGACGACGCCTCGACTCACAATCGGACACTCAAAGAACAAAGAAAATCGCAAAATCGATAACCAATCGAAAATTTATCGGAAAATCAACGTATTTTTGTACATAAAGCCAACTCAACCAACCAACTGGACGACCACGGACTCTCACATACGTAACTTAAAACTTCAATTTATAAACCCATCAGAAAAAGGATAAAAAAAAATCGACAAAAAAAAAAGATATCTATTAAATGGAACAATAGTCTCTAAGCTATATATTATTATTAGTTATTTTGTTTAAGTTGTGTATTTTTTAAGCGATTTATAAAATATTTATGGTAGTCTTACATATACATTTCGACAATGTGAAACAAAATTGAATATGAAACGTTTGTAAAATGCTTTATATTGATATTATTATTAAATGTTTACCAATCGATAAAAATATATAGCTCTTGTGTTTTATTCAGGGGGAGTGATATGGATCCATTAACTAATAGCTTGATAACCATTATAATGACTAGGTACACAGTTTCAAATGTTTAACAATTTTTTATTTGTTAACAAATAGATAAAGGCATTACTTTTAGATATAAACGAAAATGATTGATCTGGTAAGACCTGGGACTTATTTTCTGGGACTATTTTATCTGATCGGGGCTTCAAAATAAAATCAAAAAAATAAAAACAAAACGACTTACCTCTCTCAACAATCCGAAAAGCACATCCGTTGATAGCGACCGCTCGTGGGCCTCGTCCATTATAATGGCGGAGTAACTGTCCAGATCCGGATCCCTCAGACTTTCGCGGAGCAGGATACCATCCGTCATGTACTTGATCACCGTGCGTTCCGAAGTGCAGTCCTCAAATCGAATAGCATAGCCCACGTCTTCACCTGGCGGGGAATAAGAAAGGGAAACATTAGTACAAGGCCTAGTACAGAGTTACGACATCCTACCCAACTGGGTGTCCATCTCGTCGGAGACACGCTTCGCCACCGACATGGCGGCCACTCGACGCGGCTGAGTGCATCCAATCATGCCACTTTTGCTGTAACCATCCTCGTGGAGATACTGTGTGAGTTGCGTGGTCTTGCCGCTGCCAGTCTCACCCACAATGATGATTACCGAGTTCTCGCGGATCACGTTGAGCAGTTCCTGGCGGGAGGCGAATACGGGCAGGAAGCGTCGCTGCTCAGCGATGGTTTTCTTGCGCGAGAACTCGCTTTTGCCTCCCGTTTCCTGGTCACGCATATGATCGGCAAACTTCTGGTCCTTTCGGTAGTCGGCCGTATCGTTGTCCTTGTTGAAGCGAGCATCGTCCTCGTCCTGGGGCCCTTTTACGCCCATAATGTTGCCCAGCTTGGTGCCGCTCAGCTCCCAGTGTTTCTTCTGCGCCTTGCGGCGCTCCTTTTGCTCCCGATAGGTCTTCACCAGAGCGCTTCCCTTCCGCGCCAGAAGTGCCATGTCGGAGGTGGGGTCCTTCACCGGCACCACGGGTTCCGGCTGCTTGGTGAACACAATTCGACCGTCCAGAAAGGGCGGGATTATATGATGGACGAGTAGATGCACTCGTTCCAGGGCTTCATCGTCGAAATCGTCGTTAACGTTGATCGAAGTCACCACGCCGGAGGTGAGCATTCTGTTCCGTTCCCACAGCTCATTGTCCCGATTGTTCTGTCGCTGCTGGGCACTGATTCGCTTGGTTCGCTTCTGCTCCAGCTGCTCCTCTCGCTTCCGGAAGTAATCAGAGTTGGCGCCGCCGAACGGATTGTTCTCGTCGTCGTAGCCTTCGTCGATGTTGTACCATTCGCGGTCCAACCGGCGCTGCTCCTCCTCCCAGAGATCCCGCGACTCCGCGTCCTCGCCCCAGGGTGTGGCTCCACTGCGTTTGCGGTCGTGCGCCCATTGATTGTATCGGTGGGCCGGTGTCGGCCGCGCCGTGTCATCCTGCCGGCCTTGATTCCGCCGGCTGCTCGAGCGGGCGGACCAATCACTTGAGGTGTGGCTCCCATGACGCTTGGGTGTGGGCATGTCCCAGTCGGACTTACGATGGCTGCTGTCGCCGTCATCATCGTCCCAGGTACTGTTGGATATGCCGCTGCTGCCGCCTGGTGTGTTCGGCTCCCTTGGAGTGTTGACGCTCCTTGCGGACATGGAGCCATCTCTGTCACGATCTCGATCTCGGTCTCTACTCCGGTGTCGGTCACGATCTCGCTCTCTATATCGATCTCTGTCTCTGTCCCTTTGGTGCCTCCGGTCGCGATCTCTTTCCCGCTCTCGGCGTCTCTCTCGGTCCGATCGGCTTTCCGAGCTGGAGCCGGATGACGAGGAGCTGCTGACCGCCGGGCGACCGCGGGTCTTGTCCCGCTGAATGTGCTCCCGCAGGCGTTCGCGAGCCTTTTCCGAGACTCCACCTGTGTGTGAGGGTGTCTCGTCCTTGTGCTCACGCAGCTGGCGACTCAGCTTCTCGAAGCTTTTCGTATCTGGCTTCTTGAAGGCAAACTCACTCAAAGCGGCACCTCCGCCATTGCCGGGTGTGGAGCTTGGCGTGGATCCTCCACCGCTCGCAGTGTCATCGTACTCATTGTCCTTAAAGGAAATCAATCGTCCGGACTGTTCCTTTTCAGCGCGCCGCTTGGCCGCCAGCTTGTCCAGACCTAGCAGCGATCCCTGAGGAACCTTGAAGCCGCTTTTCGATGACGCTCCGTCCTTGGGCTTCCGGATAACAAGACCACCACGCGTCTCCTCGCCGCTGGTACCCTCCAGCCTGTGCACGCCCGCCTCCTCGTCGGCGGACATGGTGAATCAGAGCAGTGCGTGTTTCTTTCCGGAATTTTTCGCACTTGGTTTTTCTCGTTGGCGTTCTTCAAACAGCTGATGGCCGGCAGAGTGCTGCCACCTCGTTTTCCATCGATGATTTTATCGATAATTCTTATATTCATACTTATTTTATGTTTTTACTGAAATAATTTGTAGCAAGACCTTTTATTATAATAAAGACAATATTGATCTCCAATCACCCACATAATTGTATTTAGGGTTTACTGAAGATATTAGTTTAAAAAAGCTACACACTGTGTAAACTTCTGGCAACTCTGCAATTTGGCGCCACAAAGATAAGCTTTACAAATATTAATGAAATTTACATTTTTCGGTTAAAATTAACCCTTTATTTTCATGCTAAGTTAAATTAGTCTTTGTTCTCAGCCTTTTCCGGCACTGTCTGCTCGATCCACTTCAAGTACGGCGGATTGCCGTTCTGGATGGGCAGGGAGATGACCTCGGCCACGCTGTACGGGTGATTCTCCCGGACGTACTTGCTCAGCTCGTCGATTCGTTGGGTGCGCGTCTTGATCATCAGCAGGTACTCGCTGTCTTCGTTGACCTTGCCCTCCCACATGTATATGGACTCGATTTGCGGCACAATGTTCACGCAAGCAGCCAGTTTTCGTTCGATGATGCCGCGGGCCAGCTTCTTGGCAGACTCCTGGTCCGGAGTGGTCACATATGCCACTGAGCTGCTGCCTGCCTGGTATGGTGCCCCAGGGCAGGACGATTTACAGGTCTGGTCGTTGCTACTCATCTTGGAAGCGGAGATTCCGGCAAGGTGTCTGGTGTCGGCGAAAGACGAACAGCTTGTGACGAAAGCGGCGCTGCTAGCGACAATTAACAGGTTGCGTGCAAATACCCAGCTCGAGGGCAAAAACCTTGCGCAGGCCAGATACTGCATTAACGTGCACTTTGCCCAATCCAAGCACAGACGCACAAGCCAATGCAATTCAAGTCAGCCGAAATTGAGATTCAGATAGCAAAACAAACCAAAGCAGGGTTGTCACGCAGCCATAAAAAGCTTCCACTTAAAATGGTGCCCTTTGCTCAAAAGATTGGAATATAATTGTGAGATTAATGAAGTGGGGAGGAATGAAAAAGTTCTCTATAATAAAAATAAATACTTTGGCCTGAGGTTAGCTTTCAAGCTACGACATTTTTAGTTAACGGTTGCACTCACCTGCTTTCTCCAACAGGTTGGCAGCAATTTCACGGCCATTTTCCAACACTGGTCAGCTGGTTTCACGTTGCCTCTTTCTTCCCAGTTGGCCACTGTTTTTTTCAATTTTAGTTGGTATTCCACCGGGAGGAGACATCTAAAATGGCAGGAAAGTACGAAAAGCTACAGCAGCAATTCCTGTGCTGCTATCCGGTTAATAAGATGGCCTGGTCGGTAAGTTACACGGCCGGGAATCCCCCACCCACCTGTGGCGCCTCCTTTATAGTTTCGGTTATTTTCCGTTGCAGTCGGTGAAGCTGCCATTGAACTGGGCGGAGCAGCAGGAGCTGATAGCAGCCACATGTGGTCACCCATTGAATAAAAGCCATCCGGTGCGCCGCAGCTACCTGGAAGCGTTCCTCAAGCAACTGATGCACCTGCTGAAGGATCAGGATGAGCTGCACGACGATCTCTACGGAAACCTGTGCGGCCGTATGGCAGAGAGTCCAAGTTCCGGCACGGCCTATGCCTACAAACACTATCTGATCCAGCCTGGAGCACAAATTACGCTTCGGGAATCAAACAGCTTTGTGAGCGAAGGAACCACTGGGCTCTGCACTTGGGAGGCAGCCCTGGCCCTGGCAGACTATATTCTGCAGCACAAGGATGTGGTTAAAGGCAAGAATGTGGTTGAACTCGGGGCTGGTGCCGGTCTGGTGGGAATTCTGCTGAAATTACCTGCCCTGGAACTGCACACTGGACAGGTGCTACTCACAGATGGCAGTGAGCCATGTGTACAGCTGATGCGAGAAAATATTGCATTGAATTTCGATACCAAAGACGAGGCGGGGGAAGTGCCTCAAGCGGAGACTCTACGCTGGGATGCAGTGGCCAAGTTTCCTTGGGAAAAATACGCCAAAACGGATCTGCTTCTGGCAGCGGATGTTATTTACGATGACTCCCAGTTCGATGCCCTGCTAGGAGCACTGGATTACTTGTTCATACAGAGAAGCAATCAGCTGGAAATGCTTCTGGCCAGTACAGTGCGGAATGTGGATACACTGCACAAGTTTATGACGGAATTGAGTGAGTGAAAATTGAGACTCTGGCACTCCCCATTCTTATGAAATGATTGTAACAGAAGTCCGTAAACAATTCCGTTTAATTTCGAATTATTTACTTACAGGTGCCCATGGGTACAAGGTGACACCCTGTGCGAATGTATCAGCCTGTGCCAGCCACTTTTGTCGCGATCACACCGCCGCCGTTCAAATTATCTCCATCAGACGCTAGTTTAGTCCTAAAATAAACCGACGGCCAGCTAAAAACAACAAAACAAACACTAACTATCTGGATCTCACTTAAGATCTTAATTGTTAGGCTATTTGGTTTGTGCTTAGGTGGCCAATCTCCAGGATTTCGCATTTAATACACTCTTTCCAATGACGTTTCTCCAGATGGATACACAGAGATAGACTGGAAGGCATGACTTCTTATCAAAAGATTGCACAATATTACCTAATCGATTCCATGCATCGAGCTGCATCGATAGGGCACGTGATTAAATGATTAATATATATATTTGATATATTTTAGATAAAAAAATTCAATTAAATACTGAGTATTTGTATTTACATTGGCGGGCGATCGGTCACTGGCTTATGGTGGGAATGGTGCCGTCGTTCAGCCACCGGACATTGAGCTGCTCGATTTGGTGCTTCATGAAGATAATGCCGTATACCTCGTACTGGATCTCCAGGAGCTGGGTGCGATGGGTGCGGGGCACCTTCATGCCCACCACGAGCGCCAGCAGGGCCGTGATGATCATGAAGACGAATCCCTGGGCCATCAGGGTACTCGACTCCGTGGAGTAGAAGTACGAGTTCTTGGCATCGGCCACAAAGTAAAAGTACACAATGCTGGTGTCCACGAGCTTCAGGATGTACGAGGCGCCCACAACCAGTTCCGTGTATCGCAAGTGGGTGACCTCCAGGAGGACTATGGTCTGGTTGGAGTAGGACAGGCCGAAGAGCACCAGGAGCAGCCAGAGGGACCAGCGGGAGTCGGTCACATTGCAAAGGATCATGGCCAGCAGGGTGAAGAAGATCAGAGCTACCTGGGAGCCCACAAAAGTCACCTTCACTGACAGGAACCACTGGCACAGGAGAGTCACTAAGCTGCCGGCGAAGATGACCCAAAACATGGCATCGATGTCCGAGAAGGACGTCAGACGTATGGCCGGATTCAGGGCAAACCAGTAGAGGAAGTAGACGAGCAGGGCATGCTGCACTGCCTCCGTAAACAGGAGCAGCAGAATCACATTCCACTGCTGGTTTTTGGTCACGTAGAAGAACTGCAGTCGCTTGATGACCTCGTCTCTGTTCTCGAAGATGCTCCCGTTGGAGTTGGCGATGCGGAGGTCGTTGTCCAGGCTATTCACCAGGTCCACAGTGCCCAGAAAGTCCAGCACCTTGATGCCAATCAGTATGGCCAGCATGGCGGCGGCCACGCTCAAATAGGTTCCGGCAAAGTTCACATAGATTCCGTCAATCAACTGCTCCGTGGTGGCACTTTGGCCGGACAACTGCTCCTTATTCCGGCTGTAGGCGGCCACAATGAGGCTCACGGCGGAGGCCACGCCCAGCAGATAGCAGCTGCAGCTGGTGGAGATCAGGATGGAGCGACTCGCCTTGGAGGTCATCGTTAGCAAGTAACTGTATCCAGCCACAAAGGTCATGCTGTGGGCCACATACGATATATAAGCTCCCACGTGATCTGAAACGCGAAAAGGGGTTTTTATTAATTAATTTAATGACTATATTTAATTTTTAAACTTACCAAATCCATCTGCAAAGTAGAAACAACTGGCAATGAGATTGAATATCCCGGCGGAGATGAGCAGCCATGGCTGCCAGTAGACGATGCACTTCTTCACCAGCTTTAGAGAGAACATGGCCAAGGCGGTGACAACGGCCCAGCAGGCGCCCAGTATCAAGGGGCCATAGTGGATAAGTCCGGATTTAAGATTCCTCTCCGCCACAAAGGCACAAATGCTGTAGCCAAAGATCATGCCACAGGGCATGAAACTCAGGCACACTGAAAAGACCAGGAGGAAGGGTTAATTGGGGTTTCATATAAGAGGTCATGTCCGTAGGAGGTCTCTTAAAAGACCTAGACCTGGGCGATCTATGGAGACTTGTTAGTCTCTCCTTTTGGGATCTACATATCCTGTCCTTTTGTTTAAAGTCCTATATCTAATGATTCTATGAAGAGTTATCCGTGTGTCTGTTTTTCCATAAGTACATATGTCTTTAAAGACCTAAACTTCAGGGATCTATTGAAACCTTTCCGTGTGTCTGTTTCAAGACCTAAGGATATAAAGCTTAAGTTTCAAGCTCTAAGGTCTAAACTAGATGGATTGATTTTGTAGATGTCTGTGTATCTGAAGAAGTATTTGGGGATACTTGGGAAGCCCTAGGGATCTATTAGGGCTTGTCTGTTAGGAGGTATAGGTATCTAATGCCTGGGATATATCTAATGCCAAAAACCCATAGATCTCTGGAGACTATTCTACCCATTAGGGTATTAGTTATTGGTAAGCCAGTTTGGGTTTGTGTAGTAGACCCATCTATTAAGACTTGTCCTTCTTTCTGTTAGTAGATCTGTTTAAAGACCAAAATCTTAAGTTCTCTAAAATATAAGATAATAATTAATTTGAAATTCTTACAATTTTAGCTGCCAAACTGAATCTAATTCTCTTTAATAATTTTTGAGAAATTCCACAACCACTTTGAAAAGGTCTCAACACTTTGTTTAAATATTATGGTTTTGACTGATAATACCTCATAATTTATTAGTATTTATTGTTTGGTAATCTTTATGGGTAAAGAGCGGAGATATCCCACTTCAAATCCGCATGACTCACCCACATAGCTGGGGGCGTACTTGAAGAACTGGATAACCAGCTTTCCCCACACGTTTGCCATTTTATTTCCTTTTGTTTTTTAACAAAGTCGAACTCCAGTTGATTATCCGGCGGAGAGATGGAGGAGCTTAGAGCTCAGGGCTTAGAGCATGTTGCGTGGGGGAGGGCCACGATGTGTGATGGCCAGACGCCGGGCACAAATGCTGCGTAGCCGTGGTGGGAGAAGGAGTCGGACTGCGGCAAAGACGGCCACGATAAGGCGATAAGATAAGCCCTGGCACGGACCAGGCCAGGTGCATGTGGAGCTGCAGAGAGAGAAATAGTGACAACGCCATAGCTCAGCTCTTTATAGCATTTTGTTGAAGATTTCTTTCTATTTTGGATCCGCAATTAGATGCCTCATCCAGCCATTAACTTGGCAAGTGTTTCTATTTATAGGTCTACACCCCATTTCGCTGAGTGTACCCAGTTGGTGAGTGACTAATGCCGCATTGGAGTAAGCCCCTCGGACAGATAAACAGATGTCCGCCAAACGATAAGCCCCTCAAGGGAGGGGAGTTGCCTCAAGCTTTACGGCCGGAATGGCACCAATGGCCATTAGTATATATTTCTTGGTCGCACAAAGTTTCCGGCTATTTATATATGAACGTATATTGTGCATATTTAAGCCCTGGCGTGTCTATTAATTTTGATAAGGCTTAAAACTAATCTGGAATGGCTATAATTGATAAGGGTTACTCGGCCGATAAAGTTGGCCAATTGATTTCTATTGAATTACATACATATATGGTATGCCAGCCAAGTGTTATTATCGGCTTTTGTTTTTGTTGCTTGAGAGTGGGAGGTGGGCAGTGGGCAGTGGGTGGTGGTGGGTGGTGGGAGAAAGTGGGCTGCAGGTGTGGGTGCAAGTTCCGTTAGCTAGTTTGTTTACCTTTGAGAGGAAATTGTGATTTCAGCTGAGAAAACCAAGGCCCCAAGAGAGAGAGAGGGAGAGAGCCGAGATTTCTGCAGAGTTGCTCTTTGCAATTTGCATTTTTTATCAGGCAACCCTATCACTTCATTACTTTCAATTTTGAATGATAAGGATTAAATATTATATAATAACTAATAAATAGGTAATTAAATTTTTAGGAGTTTGTAAAATTGTAAAATTCTCAGGATCTTCTTAGAAACTAAATCTTAAACATGTCTACGATACCCGGTACAATTCAAAGTCCTCTTTAGCATTCTTATAGATTATATCTATATCTATATCTAGAATCTATAGATTATAGATTCTTATAGATCTAATAGATTTTATTATGAGATTTAAGTAAAATATTTTAAAAATATTGTTAAATTATCAAGGAGTATTTTTTCCAAGAGCACTTGCATAAGAATCTAACACAGACCGAGAGAGAGAGAGAGAGAGAGAGTTAAGGACACTTTAGTCCTGCGCAGGTCAGTTGCTCTCTTCGGTTTCTTAAGCACAGCCTGCTGGCAGCCCCTTCCTTGGAGGCCCAAGAGTGTCGGCTTATCCGCTGGCAGGACTCAGAGGACTCACAGGACTCTGGACAGGCAACCCGATGTCTTGGGCTCGCCTTATCCGTGGCTTTCACTTCCGGAACTCGGCTGCCGAGGATAACAACAAAAACAGTGAGTAGCTGCAAAAAACGGCAAAGAACTTGCAAAAAAAAAAGGAAAAAAATATCCTGGCGAGAAAAAAGGATTAAAGACAGCTGCAGATTGCAAAATTACACAAGAATGCTGTAAGGACAGTGACCAAAGAACCGGCTATGGAATCCGGCAGTGGATTCCCATACATATCGCCACCAGCACCTGCACCTGCACCAGGACCTTTTCCAGCACCTGCACCTGCACCGGCATAAGAGAGCCCCTGGAGGAGCAGCCATACGCCACCGGAGTGACCATGTTTGTGATGAGCATCTGGTGCAGCAGCCTCAGCCTGAGTAGCCGGAGTCTGGCCATCGCCCTGGTGGTGTGCATCACTCTGGTCTACTTCTCCTACAGCTTCAATGCCTGCCTCCTGGCCAGCATCAGTCGCAGCCTCCAGCAGGTGAGGGGCAGGGTTTCGGTTCAACATCCGGTTCAAGTTCCGGTTTTTTTCTTATCTTTTTTTTTTTGTGTGATTGGTTACCCTTTGAAGTGCGGATATTAACCACCCCAATTGGCGATTTTGATTGAGCTTCTGCGATGTGTTGAATATTTAATAAGTGCATACTTTGACATCGAGTGCCTGACATGAATTTTAAAACATATTAAAAGTTAAAAGCCAATCTGCAATGTAAATTCCGAGCTACGGCCGCATAAAATATTCATACCCGGTACTTGTATTTAGGGCCAGAGGGCTTTAAGTCTTATATTTTATTTTATAATTAAATTTTAGGACCAAGGTTCCTTTTTTTAAAGCACTTAGATCTTTCTTAAAGCACTTAGAGGAGCTAATTATAGTTTTTAATCATTTTTTTTTTATTAAGGAATAAAGTTGATGCAAATACCGGCTATCTTATATTTTTTATGTATAGGATGTATCTTATTTTCGAAATAAAAGATCAATTTTAGTTTTTAGTGCATTTTTCTCATAATTTGAATGAGTTTACTTTAAAAATTTGTATTGGGAATTATTATTCTTATTTGAGAATACGGTTTATATAAATACCGTATATTCTTTGTAGAAAATTAGTTATTTAAAGTCTAAATTACTTTAAAGGCACTGGCTTCTGTTGTTCTTTTAGAAAATATTTTTAGATAAAGACAGAGTTACTTTAAGTTTATTTTAAATAAGGCTTTTTATTATTTTTTTAAACCGGGTATTTTATGTTTTTTGGTATATATCTTTCTCTCTATATATAAATACCTTGTTAGTTAATTTTTTTGAGAAAGTGTCCTTTCAAAAATTACTTTTAAATAAAAACAGTGTTAATAAAAGCACCAGGTACCATATATGCCATATTTATATAATAATTAAATCCTATACATTTTCTCCACTTACCCAGAGCAATCTCCGCAACCTGCTGGCACTCACCTCCACAGCCCGCAATGAGAGCAGTGACACGGGAAACAGTAGCAGTTCCACCAATACCAGTAGCACCAATGCCTCCACCTCTGTATCCACCAATGCTCCGCCAGCTCAGTCCGTAACGAGCAGCCTGGATGGAGCACCCAAATATCAGCTGCTTCGGCAGCAGGGACTCCGGCCATCGCGTCATCTGCCGGACACTTTGATCATCGGAGTCAAGAAGAGCGGAACTCGAGCGCTGCTGGAGTTCATCCGACTGCATCCGGACGTGAGGGCCGCTGGCTCCGAGGTGCACTTTTTCGACAGGCACTATCAACGCGGCTTGAGATGGTATCGCCATCACATGCCCTACACCATCGAGGGTCAGATCACCATGGAGAAGACTCCCAGCTATTTTGTGACCAAGGAGGTGCCCCAAAGAGTCTATCACATGAATCCGGCCACCAAGTGAGTAAACTGAAAAAAAAAAAAATTGAAGCATGAAAGAAAAACAATTGTATAGTATTAAAATACTTTCCCATTCTTAATCCTCTCCAGACTGCTGATTGTGGTGCGGGATCCGGTGACGAGGGCCATCTCGGACTATACCCAGGCGGCCAGCAAGAAGGCGGACATGAAGCGGTTCGAGCAGCTGGCCTTCATCAATGGCACCTACTCGGTGGTGGACACCAACTGGGGTCCGGTGAAGATCGGGGTCTATGCCCGCTACCTGGAGCGCTGGCTTCTCTGCTTTCCACTGTCCCAGCTCCTCTTCATCAGCGGGGAGCGTCTCATCATGGATCCCGCCTATGAGATCGGACGTGTTCAGGACTTCCTGGGACTGAAGCGCGTCGTCACCGAAAAGCATTTCTACTTTAATGCCACCAAGGGCTTTCCGTGTCTCTTCAAATCGGAGGCCAGGTCCACACCGCACTGCCTGGGCAAGACCAAGGGCCGAAATCATCCGCATATCGATCCGGCGGCCATCGAGCGACTCCGGGAGTTCTATCGCCCATTTAACAACAAGTTCTATCAACTGACGGGAATTAATTTTGCCTGGCCATAGGCTATATCGTTTATTTGGTGATGGAACTCCTGGAGTAGTTTCAGGGTAAGTCTTTTATATTTTATTCATTTCTTTCAGGAATAAAATATACAATATATCTCAAAAATATATGTATGATTTTTTAATTACGGACAGGACAGGACACAGTAGAGGACAAGACTTTCATAATAGAGTTTTAGGTTATTTCCCTATATATTCTTGAAAAAGTTATCAATTATTTCAATTTCTTAAATTAAACCTAAACCTAAATTAGAATAAAACCTCTCTTAAACCTAAATTAGAATGAAATGCAGTGATAATATTTTTTTCTAATATTTTATCAATATTGGAACAAAATAAGCGTAAAAATAATTACAGTATTATAATAAATAATACTGTAATATCTGTATAATTTCATATTTAATTTTTTTTTCATTCCTTAAGAAGTCTACCTTGCGGATTTCAAATTACTTGAATACTTTTAGATTTCTTTTTAGATACAAATCTTTTAAATAGTCATTTCTTTCACGCTTCTTCAAGCTTCAATAATCTAGATTCTAGAATATCGATATCAAGGAATTTACCGATACATACGCCATTTTCGATAAATGTAGAACTTCAAATATTCTTCAATCACAGCAATCCATGAAGTGACAAATTATTTCAAAAGTCTGGCAAGGAGGCTTTGCTTTACGACGCTCCTGACAGGAGCCCCAGAAATATTCAGTTCACCCGAAAGCCTCGTCGGGTGAACATCTTATTTTTCCGAATTTTCTCCTTTTATTTTATTTTTTCTTTTTCATTTTTATTTTATTTGATTTTTATTATTTGTTGATGGTGCTGGCGCTGCCCCTGTTTCCTGATTTCCTTATTTTATTATTCATAACTAATATTTTGTTTTTTTTTTTTGTCCCCTTCATTCGGACTCTTAGTATCCAATGATAAGTCCGATACAATTCAGGAAATATTTTATGATTTTATTTTAAAAAACTATTTTTTAACCTGTACATTTTTTTTATTTATTTCGCAAAAAATGGTTAACCTCATGAAGAATGGTTATGGTTAAGCTCATGAAAAATGGTTAAGCTCATTATTCCTCTTTGATTTGATTTTTTTTATATTACTTGGACTCTTATATTACTTGGACCTTGACATTTGGAGAGGATACACTGGATTCTAGAACCTGCTGAAGAGTGTTTCTGGGTGACGACTTTGGAGTCCTTAGAATTTTACAAGGCGAGCCAGTGCCTTTCGTAGGTCTCTCCGCCTTCCGGGAAGACAAGGGCATGATTTCCTTATTTTATTTTTCATAACTAATATTTTGTTTTTTTTTTTGTCTCCTTCATTCGGACTCTTAGTATCCAATGATAAGTCCGATACGATTCAGGAAATATTTTATGATTTTATTTTAAAAAACTATTTTTTAACCTGTACATTTTTTTTTTTTATTTCGCAAAAAATGGTTAACCTCATGAAGAATGGTTATGGTTAAGCTCATGAAAAATGGTTAAGCTCATTATTCCTCTTTGATTTGATTTTTTATATTACTTGGACTAATATTACCTTTTTTTTATTATTTACTTTGAAGAGGATACACTGGATTCTAGAACCTGCTGAAGAGTGTTTCTGGGTGACGACTTTGGAGTCCTTAGAATTTTACAAGGCGAGCCAGTGCCTTTCGTAGGTCTCTCCGCCTTCCGGGAAGACAAGGGCATGATTTCCTTATTTTATTTTTCATAACTAATATTTTGTTTTTTTTTTTTGTCTCCTTCATTCGGACTCTTAGTATCCAATGATAAGTCCGATACGATTCAGGAAATATTTTATGATTTTATTTTAAAAAACTATTTTTTAACCTGTACATTTTTTTTATTTATTTCGCAAAAAATGGTTAACCTCATGAAGAATGGTTATGGTTAAGCTCATGAAAAATGGTTAAGCTCATTATTCCTCTTTGATTTGATTTTTTATATTACTTGGACTAATATTACCTTTTTTTTATTATTTACTTTGAAGAGGATACACTGGATTCTAGAACCTGCTGAAGAGTGTTTCTGGGTGACGACTTTGGAGTCCTTAGAATTTTACAAGGCGAGCCAGTGCCTTTCGTAGGTCTCTCCGCTTTCCGGGAAGACAAGGGCAATCGTTTGGCCCTTATTTTTTACTTATTTTTTTTATTTAATTTTTTAATTTTAATTATTTATTAAACCAGAAAGGTGGTTTCTTTTTGAACAATTTTCTTCAGATACCTTTAACTTGTTATTATTTATCCATCTATGGTGCATCTTCAACATGTATTCTTATTATTTTGAATGTATTTTTTTTTTATAAAAACGTATGGTTCCAAAAAAAAAAAAAAAACAACTTCTATTTATTATTTATTTTTATTTATTTTTTTATTATTATTTATTTATTTATTTTTCCCAACTGCTATATACTTATATAGCCAAATGGTAAAACGCATACCACGCATTTTTTTTTTTAAATATTCCATTAATGGACTGTTAAAAACAAATACTAAGACACATTCCGATCTGGATTATTTTAATTTTACTGATTAATTTTTATATTTTTTTTTGTAATTACAGTGCGGTCCTGGAGCTCAAGGATTAGAGAAGATGTTGTTGTTGCCAGACTGGCAATGGACTGATATTGTTGATTGCATTTTTTGATACATGTAATTGTACTTATACACACATATACAGATTATATATATATATAATATATATATTATATATATAGATATAACCGAAGATTAGTGCTCAATTAATTGTAGCTTTATCAAAAAAAAAAAAAATAAAAAACCTAAAAAAAATTTCAACGAAGTGCGAAAAAAAAGGAAAAAAATCAAAGGCACTATAACATACGGTTCCTCTTTTCAACTCAACTCAACTCAACTCAACCCAAATCGAATCACATCGAATCGGATTGAAACACAGTCAGTCACACTATACTACCTACATTTACCTAACATTATAATATGCATTCCATATATAGTGACAAAAATAGAGCTTACTACGAAAATTCCTAAAAACAGTTTCCGCGCATCTGCAGTTTCCCAAGCATACCATATATACACATAAGATCGTACGATACGACTCGATCGATATATATACACACAAGAAAATATATAATTAAATAGTTCCAAAAACTACTTCAAATTGCATGACTCAAACCAAATACAATTGCTTAGCTAATTTCAATCAAAAAAAAAAAAAACAAAAACATCTAAATAAATCAACTTTAACTCAAAACCTAGAAAAAGAAACTAAAAATGTGTTTTTATTTTAAAATAATTTTAGAGTTTAATATTTAGAGCTCCCCAAATGAAACTCATCGTGAACATTTTTTAAATTTTATTTATTTAGTTTTGGTTTTAATTGTTGGTGAACGACTTTCTGTTTTTCAAACGTTCTGATATCTTCTTGGTTTTTACGGCTTCTGGCTCATTATTTTAACTTTAGTTATTTCGTTTTATTTTAAGTACAATTGATTAAATAAATTGCGGTGGTTTGTTGTTGGTTGTTGTTGCTTTAGGTATTTTTTTTCATCAAGTTTTGTTTGTTTTTTATGGTAAGGAGCATGACATAGTTTCCAAATCAATTGACTTTGGAAGATTAATTGGTTTTTTTGGGATTCCTCTCTCTCTCTCTCTCTGGTTAAGGTTAGTTAATTTCATTAAAATTAGAAACTATTTATAGGGGGGGGTGTGTAGTGTGTGTGTGTGTGTGTGTGTTTGGTGACCGTAAAATTAATCTTAAAGAAATAAACTTAATAGCTATAGTAGTTTGTTGTGTGGGTGTGTGTGTGTTTTGGTTTAAAACTAAGTGGTGTTGCAGCAGCAGGTTTCTTTGATTTGATATTTTACAAAAAAGAAAACGCTCATTCGGGAAGGCAGGTGGCTGTTGGTGGCGATAGGGCGGCTGGTCACTTCACCGGATCCTCGCCCAGCGGCTCCAGGATCTTTGACTTTTGCTGCCAGCTGCCCACCCCGCAGGGCACTGCCGTCGCCGATCCAGCCGCACCCGCACCCGCACCCGCTCCGAGCACAGCCTCCGATTTGGAGCTCTGCAAACGCTTCTCGCAGTAGAGACTGCCAATCGCCTTGGCCATCGAGGCAGCCAGGCTCTTGGTCACCGTAGAGTAGTTGAGCTCCGAGGAGGTGGACTCATTACCGGCGGCACTGCCGCTGGCGCTCACCTGCCGCGTCAGTATCGGCACCGCCTGGCTGCGGTCCTTGATGGGAAACTTGTTGCGGGTGCAGCTCAAGTCCAGCTCCAGCGTGTAGAAGCGTCCGCGCGTATACTGCCGGTTGTCGTTCCGCATCTCGTCCGTCGAGGCACTGGCACCGCCACTTGAGGCCGCAGGAGCTCCTACTCCGGCCCCGCCCGGCGGCTGTTGGCTGATCGTACAGATGCTGCTGCGATTGCTGTTGCCTGGAGTTGGTACATGTTTGTGTTTCTCTTTAGGTTCAATGTTAAGCATTTAACCTACCTGTGGGTAGCGCCGTGTGGCCAGTGGTCACGGAACTGCCATCGCACACATCCTCTCCAGTCTCTCCGTCCTCGTCCTCGCTGCCGCTACCGCTGCCGGACACCGAGCTCTCCGTTTCGCCGATGTGCAGCTTGTTTTGTACGGCTTGGGTAGGTGCAGGAAACGGAACGTCTAGCGACGACGACTTGGCGGCAGTGGGACCCGTTCGGGGCGAGAAATCCATCAGAAGGTTCTCCCAACTGGTCTCGTACACGCTGGCCAGCTGCGCCAGACTCTTGGGCTTCGGTTTCATGGCCGGCATCCGCAGAGGCACCGTCGGTTGCAAGGAGGTCGGCGTCGTTGCGGGTGTTGTGGCAGAATCCGCTTTCTCCTCGGCAGGCAGTTTTCGAGCCGCAATTATGAGCTGCGGCTCCACGTAAAACGAGTCCAGGTTGAGGTCGAGGAACAGTTCCTGCAAGAAGCGACGCGCACTCATCCGGTAGCTGCTCCTTCCGAGCGTTTTGCACGACTCCGAGTACAGACAAATGTCCTGCAAGAGAAAAGATTCAATTAAGTATTTCCATTGGAAGATGTGACCCATTTTCCTCACCTGAAAGGCATGGGGATGCTTCTGCTTCAGCTCTAGCAGAGCCATCTTTGACTGCTTGGCACTGACGGGATTGGCCAAGCGCTGCACATTGTACAATATGGAGGCGGTGAGTCTGTCCGGGAGGCTGTCCTCGCTGAGCATGCTCTCCGGCGAATGGAAACTGATATCGGCTCCGGTCGTGGGGACATTGCCCGAGCCCGAGGAGCTACTCTTCTTGGGCAAAACAGGTCCAGCCATAGACGCCAACAGAGCGGCGGCCGCCGTTCTGTAGAGCTCGCAGGGGGCCAAGGATGCTTCGCCTCCATTGCCACCGCTCAATCCTGTTCCTCCTCCGTTGCTTTGGCTATCCTGGCGCTGTTGCTGGCGCGACGATCTGGCACAATGGAGGCACTGGCTCCGGGCGTGCTTCCCATCGTTTGGCTGTTGTTGCTGCTGGAACTGAGGACCGCGCTGCTGTGGACCCCGACGACTGGCCGAAGAAACATCCGACAAGGAGGATATCACCGAGGACTCATCGCCACCCTCGTTTGTCAGCGAGTCGTTGAAGAACTGTTGCCGCCCGACGCCGCCACCGTTGCCGGCGCTGCTCAGTAGGTTGACACCCATTAGATCCTGGTCCTGGATGTCGCGCGACACATAGGTGCGGTTCACGTTGCGGGTGGGGAACAGGTCGAGTACGTTCTTGGGCAGACCAATGCCGGCGTAGCAGGGTCCCTTCTGATCGTTTCGCGGCATGTACTTCACGGCATTCGCAGTGGGCAGCAGTACGTTCATCTCGTCCGATAACATCCTCCTGATTCAGGGACAAAATAAGGGGTTAGATGGAGTACACAACACAATTAGTAACTGAACTCACCTGTACACCTCGCTCAGCTTCGGCTGCCGGTCCAGGCTGCGGACTTTCAGGCGCCGGTGCGGGTGCGTCCAGTCGTGCCGTCGCATCTGCACCTCGCAGGGGGCGTCCACCGGGCCGACCAAGTCGCAGAACGCCGACTCGGAGAAGACCGGGCGGCTGTAGGCGCGCAGGGAGCGCAGTTGAGCATAGCCCTTCATCGTCATCGCGGAGGAGAGGGAGTTGCCGGAGACCAAATCGTTGCGGAACATTTTGGTGGGATCGATTTCCAGGAGGTTGGACATGCTGGGTATCGGGCTCAGGACAAACTGCTGCAGGTCACTGAGATTCGCCGCCGCAGCAGCCGCAGCGGCTGCAGTGCGTCCGGTCACCGATTCGCAGCTACTCACGCCCGAGGTATTGGAATCTGTGCAGGAGTTGTATCGTATTCGATGATGGTACGGGACCGGAAACAGGGATCCCGTCGGTGCCACTCCCCCTGGACCAGCTCCCGGTCCGGTTGCACCGCCCAGTAAGCTGATCACATCCGTTGTCTTGGACTCGGACAGGGAGCGCTGATGCTTCCCGGGTCGCAAGTTACTGCCCTCCGGCAAAGTTTTGGATTTGGCGGCCACCACACGATTCGTGTGCCCGTCATCGGTTCCCGTCTCATTCGGATCCTTGAGTGTGCTGTGAATGGCGGCTCCGGCCAGCGATCCCCCGCCACCGGCAATGGACTCCGTTAGAGTGCCCACCACGTTCCAGTAGTGGGAGCCCAGGTAGAAGCCGTCGACCTGATCCTCAAGCACTGTCATTTGATTGTACGAGTTGGCATCCTCGTAGTAGTGCCTTACAGGCGTGTACTGGCTGGACATCCAGTCCTCGGGCTGGTGCACTGGCCACATCGTGTTCCTATCATGGCGAACACTCAGCCAATCTGTGGATCAGGGAATACAAAAGATGATCTATGGATAACGAACGAAAAGAGAGCTACTCACTCAGCTTGAAGAGAATATTGGCACCCGCCTGGGTCCCGGCTATTATTCCCAAGGCACTGAAGCACGTGGCCCGCACGGAGTACACCTCGCACTTGGTCACCAGCATGATGAGCCACTCATAGAGTCTGCAAGTGAGAAAATTAGAAGTGCATGCCACGAGGAGTCCCTCTAGAGCCTCCTTACCTGGCATTCAGCTCCACTAGGTATTCAATTCCAATGGAATGCGTGGAGGCGTGCGCCAACGCCCAAATGGCCGCCTTCAGCTCCAGGCACTCGGCATCGTCCGAGCACTTGGCCCGCAGCAGCAGCTCCACCAGCTGGGGCAGGTCCCCGTGCTTCCTCAGCGCCGTCATCCCCTGGCTGGTCTGCACCATCTGGCCATAGAGATGGGGGGCTATGTTCGGGGGCACTGTCTGCGGTCGCTGATTGCAGTTCCGCCGGGAATAGTAGCCGTCCTCGTTGCGGATGTGCAGCGTCAGACTTGAGTGGGTGTCCGCCTCCACGAGTAGGACGTACCGCTTGTTGTAGCCATTCCGCCAGTACTTGATCTCCTCCTCCACTCGGGCGTTGGTGCTGTTGAGGCCGCGGGGCAGCGAGTAGTACCGGGCCATCAGCAGCCGACCGGCGTCTCCGCGCTGGCTCAGATTCGGCCAGTGGCTGATGATCTCCTGCAGGTAGTACTTGTCGTGGCAGGCCTCCTCCAGCACCTCGAGTGCCGCCAGGACAACGCTGCGGTCCGAGTCGCGTGTCTGGACGATGATCATGGGAATGCCCCACACCTCGAAGTTTGGCAGCCTCGCTCGCAGCAGCACCGCCAAGAACTGGGTGGCATACAGTCGTCCGCTGCGCGTCTTGGCGGACGTGAGCGCCTTATCCAGCACCTGGCGCGGCAGGTTCTCGTAGCTATAGTTCAATCCGGACACAATAAGCTTCACATAGCAAACGTGATCCGTAACTCGGACCAAGTTGATTAAGCTGGAAAGAGATTCAAGGATTAATGGGTTTTCAAAAGATAGGTCAAGCATATAAGGAGGAAAAGCTAGGATTATTTGATATTTGAGAGATTTCTGAGTTAAAAACAATCTAGGGGAAGTAATTAATATTTAAAATCACTAAAATATTATTTAAAAAATATATTGTTTTGAATTTTGAAATATTTTCTTTTTAATTTTTTGGTTTTTTTAAGTGCAACTTGTGAGAAGCGAGGAGGAGGGCGCTGTTTTGAATTATAATTAATTTTTTTATTTAATTTATTTTAGTGTTAAATATATTGTTTTTATAACAATATATGTTATATAATCTTTTTCTTTATTATGAATCGAGAAGCTCGAGAAGGGCGCTAAACATTTTTAAATATTTTTTTCATATTTTTTATATTTTAAATATTATTATATTCTTTTTTCTTTGTAATATTAGAACTTTTTCTTAAAACAAATACATAAAAATCGAGGAGGAAAGCGTTATATTCAAGAATATGTTTTTATAATTCGTTATATAATCTTTAATATATTTTTAAATATTTCTGGTTTTTTAATAGAAAGGGTTACTACTTTATTTATTATTTTTAGTATTTTTGAATTCTAGTATTTACTTTTTTTAATTTCTATTAATTTTTGTTAGCTACAACTTTTTATGAGCATGGAGGAGTGCAATATTTTTAATTATATTTGATTTTTATATATTTATTTATTTTGTGTTGCGATTTTGTCAGATGCTTCTTATGAGAAGCGAAGAGGAGGGCACTGTTTATTTATTTATTTTAGATGACATCTTAATTTTAAAAACTAAGACCAACAAACAAGGGATGCAATGCTAGTTGCGAGGGCCTTAGACTATTATTATTTTAGAGAGATCGTGGAAGAGGCTTAGATATCTTGAGGGCACTGTTATTTTCACTAATATATATTTCTAAACTACTAGAATATAATTTTTTCTATAATTTATATAGGAATTATTATTATTATTTATCCCCTTTTTTGTTCGTTAGCTGCACCTTATGAGAAGCGAGGAGGAGGGCACTCTTATTTTCAATCATCTACTACTAAAATATTATTCATTATTCATTATATATATATATAATTATATATTATTAATTATTCATTTTCTTCTTTTTTTCTTATTAGCTAAACCTTATGAGAAGCGAGGAGAAGGGCTCTAATTGTAATTAAATGTCTTAAAAACAATTATAATACTTTTTTAAGATTTTTTTTTGAAAGACAGAACTTTAAACTCCTTGAAAGAGTTTCAAATCCTTCGAAGGGAAAAGGCAGACAAGTTTTTGGAACTATTCTGAGGCATACCTCAGACCAGAGTCATAAGGTCCTTTCAGAGCTACAAAACCCCAAAAGACAGAAATAAAAGTCAACTTACTATTCAAAGACGGTGGTGTTCTTCAGAACTTCAATGCCTTTGGTGGTCCGGCACATCCGACCAATGTAGAGGAAGTACAGCTGGCACATGGTGTTGTTCATGTGCTGGGGACTGAAGAGGCAGTCGTGGGCACGATTCGACGTCGTCACCGCAGCCAGCTGCTGGCTGATGTCCGAGAAGTAGTCGGTGATGTAGCGCATGCATTCCAGCTAACCAAAGAACCAATGGAAGACAATTAGAAATCCTTGCCAGAAGACTAAGACTTACCTCGCTGCTGCCGAGGAGTACATCTATCAGATCCAGGCCAGCACTCACGTAGGCCGGAAGCCGCTGGCCCGGGACCAGATCTTGATGCGAGAAGCGGTTGTTGCGCGGCTTGTAGAAGTCCACCAAGCGCTTGAGGAACTTGCCCAGGGTGTAGTCCAGTTTGCGGATCAGATTCGACTTAAGTATGGTGGTGATCACATCCCAGTCCCACTGGGCATCGGGCTGGGTGAGGACTCGCGAGTCCTGGAGCAGTCGATTGAAGGCCCGGAAATGATCAAAGAAGGTCGGGGGCAGGAACTTTCGCTTTAGTCGGAAACTGGAGCGGGAGGAACTCGACGCCTGGGAGTTGGACTCGTCGCTGGAGACCGAGTCCAGGCGGGACCGACCCAGAGTGGCAGAACGGAATTGCGAGAAGCCAGCCGCCTCGGCTGTTTCCTGCAGCTGGAGCACGGGTCCGCCGGCCTGCTCCTGGACGTTCAGATGTCGACGAAAGAGTCGCGTCTGGATCAGAGCACCGCCCTGAATGATGCTGTCCAGGAAGAGACTCCAGGATGCCGGCCTTTGGCGCAGCATCTTCTGATAATTCTGCAGCGCAGCCACCGCCGCATTCGCCTGCTGGTTGCCTTGCGTGGCATGCCCCACCAGGGTGGGCAGTGCGGGACTTGTGCAGCAAATATCCGGCGGCAGATGGGTGTGCATCAGTTGCAGGATTTTCCCGATCAAGACGGTGGCCTGCACCGAGACGAACTGGTCACTGCCCACCGCTACCTCCACGAGGGCGTTCAGCAGTCCAGTTTCCAGGAAGCAGTACAGCAGCAGGGCCAGGTGCTGTTCCACCACGTTAGGAGCTCGGGCGGCGAGAGTGGGCAGGATGGAACGGCCCTCGGCGGACACGAAGCCGTTGCTGAGCAGCCAGGTGTCTTGGAAGTCGGAAGGATCCACTGCCTGCAACGCCACCGCATAGTCATCCGTCCAAGTGGGTTGCGGTAGCGAGAGCAGCTCGTACAGCAGATCCAGTATTGCTTTCTAAAAAATAACAGAACCATTTAAAAAAATGGGTCATGTTTGTGGTTGGGAGGATTCGAACATACTCTGACTTCGACCTGGTTCAGATAGAGGGCATCGACTATTGCTTTCAGGCCAGAGGGTTTGCTGGGATCACAGAATTCAAGGGTGCCCGTCCAGCTGCGCAAAACGGAGAGCAGGGCCAGACGACAGCTGGTGTAGCGGAGTTCCCGGGCATCTCTGAAAGATTTTGTGGTTAGTAGAGATCTACAAGAGCTTCCTTCCTCTTGGTACTCACTTGTTTTTATCCATGATGCCCAGGCGGTAGGTGAAATCGCAGTAGGGCGCCGCCAGACAGTCCAGCCTCACGCCGCATATATTCCTGGTCTGGGGCCACTCCAGCAGGTAGAGCAGCACACCGCACAGACTCTCCGCTATTCGGGGATTGTGGCACTCCAGTACGTTGCGGGTGATTGAGGTGACGCCGCCACAGACGATGAGCAGGGCGGGATTCAGGACAGCGATCTCGGCCAGAGTGGCCAGGCAGGCGCGCAAAAGATTGTCGTTCTCCTCGATACCGCTATCGGCCAGGGAGACCAGGCAACGCACCACCACCGGACTGATGTCCTCCGGGGCAATGGCCAGCATTTTGCGGACCAGCTTCAAGGCCTGGACGCGCTCGTCGTCGTTCTTCAGCATCAGATCGATGGATCGGCACAGCAGATGCTGCAGCTGGAGGGCGTTGAAGGCCTTGATGTCGTTCGGCGTGCTGAGGGCATAGCGGATCGTCCTCAGGGCAGCGGCACGCACTTGGGTGAACGTGTGCACCAGCGAAGCGCTCAAACTGGAGAGACGGAGAGATGTTTGTTAACAAAGCGGAGGGTATAGAAGGAATTACATACCAATAGAGCAGCTCCTCGGTGCTGAAGAGGATTTTGCTGTGGTGGGAGCCCTTTCGGGCGCCCAAACAGAGCGAGGCCAGGGCGTTGAGCAGGAACAGGCGCTTGGTGTCGCGGGTCTCCTCCTGGCAGAGCATCGAGTAGATGTCGAAGGCATTCTCGGTGGCCGATCGTGTGGGATCCAGGCGGTAGAAGTCCTCAGGGTCTTGGGAAACTAAAAATGATTTAAAACTATTAGTTATAAAGTACTTTCTTAGTCTTAATTATAAAGATTTTTTTAATTAGGAGAATCAGATCTACCGGGTGGGGTTCTGGGAATTAGCCCCACAGTTTTAATCTCAGACGGGTGCTTACATGTGGTGCACTCATGCAATAAATAAACAAGTGTTTCGAAGATTATGTAACATCATTATTGTTTAAAATAAACAAAAATATATGCATCATAATAATGTTTAAAAAACATTCATCGGATTTATGTAAACATTAAATGCCAAAATAAATCAATCAAGAAATGAAATAAAAATTTTTTGAATTGGACCGCCACTTGCTCTGCCGGCATCGATGTCGACGACGACGACGACGACGTTGCCGTTGCCGTCATAACAGTTTCGTGGTGATTGTTATTGTTATTGTTATTTTGTTGTTGATTCGGTTGAATGTTGTTATTGTTGTCGTCGTTACAGCTCTAACTGTACTTGTATGATGGATATGGGGAGACAGAGACAGGGTATTGGGTACTGAGACTGGGACTTGGGAGAGCCAAAGAGTGGGAGAGGCGGCCAGAGGGAGAGGAAATAAGCAGGCACAGAGACAGAGATAGAGAGACAGAGACAGTGGAGAGATAGTGGTGATGAATGGAAGAAACCGAGCATTTAATGTGCTCTGTTCGTTTGTTTTTGTTATTGTTGTTGATGTTGGATTGTTGTTGTTATTATTGCTGTTGCTGCTGCGTCATCATTGGTGGTTCTCTTTAGATGTTGTATTGTTGTTGTTGTTGTTGTCTGATTCTGCTATTATTTTTGTTGTGTTATTGTTGCTTTTGGTGTGGCGACCGACTCTAAAAATAGGCGGCCAACATGTAGCAAAAGAATTTGGTCAAATGGCAGCAACACCAACACCAACACCAACAACAGCAATAACAAACCAAAATAAAAATACATAAATAAAAAGTAAATATACACCGTAGTAGTATATAAATAAGCAGAAAACAGCGCAATGAATGCTAATAAGAATTCTGTTGAAACATCAGTACCGTTATGCGCAATTGACTTAACAGCGATGATGTACATACATACATACGTACGTATGTAATGATGATAGTATGAACAGTGGTTGGTGTTGTTTTTGTTATTGTTGCACTTCACATATGTAGATGTAAACAAATAGGAAAGGCATACATACCATGTAAATAGGTAAGGCCAGAAACCGATTTATTGAATAAGCACCACCAGTACCACAAACAACACCAACAACACAAACTATGAGACACAAACAACAACAATAGCAACAGCTGCTGCTGCTGCTGCTGCTGCTGTTGGCGAGCAAAGAAATCGAATCGAATCGGAAATAACAGCGGTCGTGGGAAAGGGGACTCTGGGGGACTCTGACTATCTACGCTCAATTTTTGATGTTAATTAACATTTGTTACATTACCTTTAATGCGTAATTGTTTGCTCCGCTTGCCAAAACGCCAACTGGAATGTAGGGAGGCCATCTCGCGGGGCTTCGCGTTTCTGTTTCTGTTTCTGTTTCGGTTCGTGGTCAGCAGTTGGGGACAGCGCTGGCAGAAGCAGCAGACTGCAGCGGGGACAACGGCGGCGTCGCCCGCTCGCCGTATTTCAGGTGCTCGCGGGCACCACCAGGACACTCCGGACGCACTCTGATACACAATTGGATCACACAGTTATATTGCTTTTCAATTTCACTCGCACTCGCTGCACAATTTACATTTTTTTATTGCCGCACCGAACGCGGCCAGGGTTGTCTAAACCGCACATTGGCCACCTATCGATAAGGCATGTGACTCGGCTGCAGCAGCATATCGATATATTTAGACCAAATATTTAAAACTTTTAGTCTACTTAGTATAAAATTTCAACTTTATTTTATTTAAGCTTATATTAACACGACTCGTGAATGCACATTAGGAGTATTAATAAACCAAACACTTAAAATATATAAACACTTTATAATATATACACTATATATTTTTTTAAATTATTTTTAATTATAAAAAATCAATATAAGTACTCTCATTGTTTACATTGAAGGACATGATGATTGTGGATAAGTTAAAAATTCCGAAAACAAATTTTAAACATATGAAATTAATAAATTTATTGGAATAAACATAAATATTCTTTTCCGAGGATTAGACTCTCTGAACCTAGGATAAAATCTGGGCAGCGGCTACTGTTTTTTAGGGTAATTTAATTTTAATTTAACTTTGAAAAAAAAAACAGAGGAAAATTACATTTTAAAATTTTAATTTGACTTTCTTTAATATGTACGATAACTGCTTTTCCGTCTTCCACCGGAAAAAACATAGGTTTTTTATTTTTTGCTAGTCCTCACCATTTATAAAATTAAAACAAATAAAAATAAAAATAAAAATAAACAAATTAAAATAAATAAATAATTACTGAAAGTTTATCACAACCAATGGAGCAGAGTTTCTAGAATACTGCGTTCCTGCAGCATGCAGTTTCTTCCAGGAGAATAGGCACTTTTTGATGTTAAAGGATTGAAACTAAAACATGAAGTTTTCAGCGATATAAGTTATACATATCGGATGTATTTTTATTTTAAAGTTTCTGGTTTAAACGCTTTTACAAAATGGTTTCTGGTAAACTAGTCTTGACGTGACTCAATTTCTTCAAGTGTGTGGTTATCCTTGTCCTTGTTCTAGGAGGGTCCTATAGCAGTTGCGCAGATATCGCTTCTCCCGGTTCCAAACCCTTTGGTACTGTTCTCCAATGATCGTCATGACACTCCTTGAGATTAAGTCATCCCTTGCACCGAAAAACTGCTGCACACCCTTCATCTTGAAGCCCAGGAAGAAAGCAACCAACTCCAAAGCCACTAGGATCCACGACGCCCCCACATCCTTAACTTGCTTGAACATCCAGCCTCGTCCCCAGGGCCAACGATGGCATGCCATTTCAACGAGGTGATGAACAGATTCGCTGAGGGGAAACCACGCTGCGACCAAAAGGACTTGGACCCCCATGCAGAGGATCAGAATCTGCGCCATCTTCTCCAGAACATTTGCATTGTATCCCGAATTTCGGCGCATGATTTTTTTGAAAGCCATCATGGTGAGGAATATGAACACAGTCGACTCCATGGTGGGCTCGATGGGATTGAAGAGATCTTTCAGATGGACAAAAAGGGAAATCACCAATGCAATGATATAGACCTTCTCCATTTTATCCAAATACAAATAATTATATTATAAATGTTTAAAAGCGTACTATAATTTTTTGGAGAACTGAGCAGTAGGAGCTCTTTTTAAAAATGGAGTGATGTTTGGGGCTTGTTTGGGATTTGTTTTAAATTGTTTTCATCGCCTACTATTGTTAGGAAATTAAGGTCGAGAATTATTCGGGTAACTTTAATTGTAGGCAATATTTAATTTAAGGAAATTTGTTAAGGAAATATTAGTAGCACGAGTAGAGGTTCTTGTGGGGTTTCAAGTTTCTGAATTCTTTTAAAAGAAATGCTTAAGTTTAATGGGAAATATTACGGATTAAAATAAGAGGGAAAGAGGTTAAATTTCGTGCAAAAATGTTGGCTTTTAGTTGATAAGTTTTTAGGAAAAAATCGGCCTGATTTGAAGAAGCCCAAAAAGCCTATAAAGAGAGATAACCCGTAATGAATTTTTTTTTTAATTATTGGGAATGAAAAATGGGTCCCTTTTTTTGTTTATATCGGAGAATCTAGTATAATAATTAAGGAAAAAAATTCTAATTTTTAAAATAAGCTAATTAAAAAAATTATCCATTCCAGATATCTGGTTACTCTGCTTGTGGCCAGTGTGACCAGCCGCTGCGGGGCTTGAGGCGTTAGCTGAGGCACATTAGGCAAAGACCTCTGGCAACTCGTGCCCCAGCGACCAAAAAAAAAAAAATATTAAAACAAAGTTAACGCCAGCAGGCGCAGCGTTCGAGAAAAGAGTGCAGTTGCAGTGCAGTGCAGTGCTTGCGAAAATCGGTGCACAATTTGCGAAACGAGAGCTCCTCCTCCTCCTCGTACCTGTACCGCCGTCGCTCCGCTCCGATCCGATCCGATCCGCCTATCCGCTCCCTCCGCCCGAATCGTTTCTGGGTTTTTTGTTTTTGTTTCTGTGTATCTGATACGACGGCCAACTGATGAGTCTCAATTGTTTTCATTAACGTTGTTCAGCGAAATTTATGCGCGCGACGACGACGAGTATCGTTCCCTGAATTCGGCCGCCCGAACCTATCCCCGGAACAAGCGCTAACAAACACGCCCTCTACTGTCCTCTCCACCATCCCCGCCCAACTCCGCCCAGTCCCCGTCCCGATTCCCAGCTCCCAGGTCCACCACCACCCAACAATACCACCCACCACCACCACCACCAGCCCTCCAACGTCAAATGTCGAACAACAGTTTCGGAGGAGGTGCCACTGCCGCTGTGGCCACCAGTGGTGCAGCATCACCAACACCAGCTGGCGGTGGTGTAGTAGGAGTGGGTGTGGGTGTGGGCGCATTGGCAGGAGGCACTATGGTTCCGGGTGGCGTCAATGCTGACCTGTGGCGCGAATGCGTCGCCTGGCTGGTGCGCTGCAAGGTCATTCCGCCCGACCACAAGGCCGCCCAGTCTGACGCCGAAATTCGCATCCTGGCCATGACCTTGCGGGACGGTGTTCTGCTCTGCAACCTGGTCATCCATCTGGATCCCAGTAGTATGGATCCGCGCGAGTTCAATCGCAAGCCCCAAATGGCTCAGGTGAGAATTGAACTCCGTCCAGTCCGACCCTCCAGGATAGAAGTGTTTAAACCAAAAAACGAAAAAAAAAATGTATCTCGTTCTCGTTTTGTTAACAGTTCCTGTGCAGCAAGAACATCAAACTATTCCTGGACGTGTGCCACAATAACTTCGGGATCCGGGACGCGGACCTCTTCGAGCCAACGATGCTCTACGACCTCACCAACTTCCATCGCGTGCTCATCACGCTGGCGAAGCTGTCGCAGTGCCGCAAGGTGCAACAGATGCACCCCGAACTGATGTGAGTTGTCCAACAAGTGGGTGCAGTGCCTCCGAGTAGCGCCCCAATAGCAAGCATGACGCACAAAAGCAAGATCATTCAAGAAAAACCCCATGTCTAACCCAAAACCAATATCCATCACTGTGAATATATCGATCGCATCATCATAGCATCACTAACAAAGCATTCCAATCAATTGTGGTTTCATTTTAAGCTCGGTTTTAGTTGTAAGATGATTATGTTGCTTGTAAAATGATTTATATTTATTTATTTGTTAATATTAGTGAGTAAGTGTTGCAAGTAGTATGTTTTGTTGCAAGAGAACTGTGAACCAATTACAATCCACATACTTTGGTTTGTTTTCAAACGGATTTTTTATTTTTTGGCAATCCAAACACCCGCACCATTATAACACCAGGGAACTGGAACCATTACCTTTGAGTATGTACCTCGAGCAGGCATATCGAAATCGAATCATTTTCATTTAATGCATTCTTGGCGCCCGCCGAAAGCGCCGAAAAATACTTTTTGAATCACAAAAGTCCGCAACAAGCCGACGGAAACAAACAGTTTAATGCAAATTTTTGAAATAACTGCACGCCTAAAATGCCGAAATTAAATAGAGCAAAGTATAAATACATGAAATTAATCACATATTCCTAAGTACATATGTACATGGTGTGGCAATAGTTATACACTATTATTAATTGGAAACTCTTGTGGCTAATCATCCCGTATCTTTCCCGTATCCTTTCTAGTGGCTTTAACCTGCAACTTTCGCCCAGCGAACGATCCCACTCGGACGAGGCCATCTACAAGGATCTGCATTCCACGTAAGTACGCCAATACTCAGGGCAAGATTATCCCTAGCCCCTTAGTGCCTTATAGTCCCGCGACCCCTGCTTGCCCCGCTGCTGCCGCAGGCGAGGTGCCTGCACTTCCTGCATTGCATTTTTGCAACCCCTGCTCCCTCAATCCACCCGCCCCTATCATCTCTGACCTCGACCCCGACCCCATACAGACCCTACCAAGAACAACCTCATTATGCGATCACGTACTTCCCGGAGTGTTCCCGGAGATCCATAATCCATAAGCCCTCGTCTGGCTGCTTATCGGAGCCAGAAGAGCCCACACACGTACTCACAGAAGTCTATATTCTTGAACTTGATGTTTTTAGATCCGAGTTGCTTATCTCTGCGATTAATTCACTTCCGTTTACATATCCGTAGAAATTCCTATTAATTCCTAAAGCCGTAATGTAAATATCATGCGAGAAAGTGTCTTACAAGAGTGACCCTTTCATTATCCTGTAAATAATCCAAAGGGGTCACACTTCCTCGTCGAGTGTGACCTTGCCAGTATTGAAATCAGTTCAGATATATATTAAATATTCAAATAAAGCTCTTTAATCTTTAAAAGATATAAAAACATCAACTTCTTTTTATGAAGAATATCTCTTGCGATATATACCCAATCATTAGCTTTTATCTAACACACTCTCTCTCTTTCTCTCTGTCTCTCTAAATCTCTCTGTCTAACACACTGCCTATCCACTCACCCGTGTGCCTGAATCTATTATCCTTTGAATCTCTATGCGTGTGAATGTGATCCTGATTGGGTGTGGGTGTGGGTGTGGGTATGCCTTTTGGGGGAGCCAACCAACCTCCAACCAGGGAGCTAAATATGCGCAAGACGAGCAGCATTGATGCCGCATCCGGTTCATCGTCGGCGGAATACTACGATCGCACCTCGCACAGCGGCTCCCTCTCGGTGGAGGATGAGAACAGTGACATAACCATTGAGAACGGCACCGAGGACATTGAGGACTTTCTCGAGGATTCGCTATCGAACATGTGCGACTCGGCGATCGAGAATGACGGCGAGTTGATTGGCGTTGGAGCTACCGGAACTGGAGGAGGAGTGACGCCTCGAAATATCCAAGATGGCCATTTGCGTGATCTCTCCTTTGATCTCAGCCTGGATGTGATGGGCGCGACTTCGTCCAATGCCGTTACACCCACTCCGGAGTCCTGCGCCCAGCCAACCGATGAATCCCTGACAAAGTCCAGCACTTGCGCCGGCACTGCAGCCACTCCAGCTGCTGCTACGGGTCCTTCACTGCCCCGGCATGTCATTAGTTCCTCCTCCTCGGCGTCGCTGTTCGTCAGCGAGAGCCAGAGGCTTCAGCGGGCCGCCGCCGCCGTCTACAACTACCGATCCTCGATGGCGTCCGCGGAGCACGAGTACGCCTACATCTACAGCGAGGACGATGAGAAGGTCTACGAGGATCTCTGCTATGTCACCTTCCAGGCGAAGGCCAAACCCGAGGTGTGCTGTCCAAAATACTAACAATCTCTGTGTCCAAGCGGGGTGGGTTGATTTTGGTCGATCTTCTAGAGCTTTTCAAAGATTTTCATTCAAATAACGGTTAATCATATGAGAAAATGGTCATACTATGTCCTTTAGTATGACCCTAGTTTTTAAAATATATTAGTTTCTTGGCTCTGGAACTTCGACCTCAAAAAGTTGACCCACCTTAAGTGTAACGTCTTGTGTAACAGCCCTCCACCGCCCCCGACTCCCTCCGAAGCCTCTCCTATTTCTTCCTTCCTTTCACCTGTCTGATGCTTGAATCCTTCTTTTTTTTTTAGAAACCATTATAGATCTAAGAGCCACTAGAACCGCTTGCCTCGCTTTTGCTTGAGCTGTGCCACATCAAATATTTCCACACACACCCCCCGCAAAACATGCACCACTCCATCACTTCTGCTACTACCACCAGAACCACATTAACCACTCGCACCCGCATCCCCCAGATAATAGTCCACAACCATATCTCCACAGTCCCATTCTTTGGCCTCAGTTTCTATTTCTTGTACTTTTCGTATTATCTCGAACCGAAAGGGGCAACTGGGCGGAGGAACATGGAATGGGAATGGTTGGGTTATCGACCCACTCTTGACACCAATCGAAGGCCGTGCCAAATATGGGAGCCACCGGAAGTACTGACCCCCCCACTGGCCAAGTACTGGCCAATTGCAATGAAATGGCATTAAAATAGCTATGAAAACCTTGGTACGGTCATTGAAATTAAGTGAATTGGCAGATAGGAGCCATCATATCGATCCAATATCCAGAGGGTTTCCCAGTTGACAATATAGAACAGAAACATGACGCACTATCATCCAATTTGTCCGATAATTGTCACCCCAAAAGCGATTAGTTATCAAAAAATGAGTCTCCATTTGGAGAAACTTTCAGAAAATGGATGTAAAATAATATTTCATTTAAAAAGGCCAGTTTTTTGTGTCATTCGTCGTTTTATTGGCCAATGAGTTTTTATGGTTGTTATAATTCAAATTGTCTTGCAATTTGTTACAATAATTGAGGTGGTTTTATATAATTACGATAAAATATAGTGTTAGTGTAGACGTGTAATGAGAAAACATAAACTAAAATCTATGTACATTCATCACACGTAGGTTTTTCAAAACCAATAAGCTTCCATTGGTTTTGTTTTTTTGGTTTTTGGTTCTCGTTCTTTTTTTTTTTTTTTTTTTTTTATGATTTTTTTTTTTGATTTTTCTTTTTTTTTATAATGTATAATTTGTATTTTGTTTAGTTTTCGCAACGTCTTCAACCTATGGTTGTTGTTGCGAGAGGTGTCTGATACATTCCATGCATTTTTTTTTTTTTTGATTAGTGCCTGGCCATCAGCATCACATTCGAGAGCTTTCATTTTTTTCTTTGTTTTTCTTGTTTTCTTTTGTAGTTTTGTAGTTTTTTAGTATCATCTTCGTCTTGTCGTCCTCAAGCCTTGTTTTGGTTTCAAGCCTCCAAGTCTTTTGGGCAGGAATATGGTTTAATGTTGTGTGTACTATGTGTGCGTGTGTATGGTAGAGGCCATCCGGCTTCTAAGATGCGGAGAATCAGCTAGGAACTAACATGAATCCGTTTTCAAAAAACCAACGTCCCTGCGTTGGGTTTTTGACCCCCCCCCTTTTCCCCTGGATTCATTTGAAACCCATCCTTCTAGAACCCCTCCTCGTCCTCCATTTCCTCCTCTCCCTCGTCGTCGACCTCGTCCTCGCTGTCAGTGCTGGCTGGTGATAGCAAATTGTTAGCCATCTCGTTGCCGAGTTCCAATATCGGCTTCACGTCAACATTTGGTAATGAATGAGTTATCACATTGGCCACCACGGTGCAGATCCCAGCCAGACGCTTCTCCAAGCGCTTCTCGAAGTAACGACGGTGTCTAGAATGAGGAATAGGGCAGCTAGTAAATGGTTTCCACATTTGTTTTACAAAAAAAAAATAAGGAAATACCTATAATACTTCTCCTTCTCGGTGAGTCCCTTGGGGAAGCGCTTCTTCTTCGGCTTCGGAACGAAACGATGGCGATAGGGGTCCTGTCCGTCCCCATTCATCGGAGCCACTAGCTCCACCTCAACAATCTGGGGCTCGAATGACGAACCAGTCTGCGGCACAGAATCCAAGTCGTTGTAGTGACTGTTCGAGAGCGACACCTCGCCGCCAATCATAACCGGACCGCACTCCACCTCGTCCACAATGCCATAATCCTCCTCCGACATCTTGTTGGGGGCCTGGGTCTCGGCCAATAGCTTGTTTAGCTCGTCGTTATTACCGCCCCCACCGTGCGGCTGTTGATAATCATCAACATCATTAAGATCATCAGATTCATTACCAACCGGGGGTGAACGCTCCCCAAAGTTATGATCATTTAGAACCCCAAGCATCAACGGGGAAAGCTGGCTCTCTTCACACGAGAAGACGCTGGAAATCGCCAAAGTGTTGACTGGCGGCTCCACGTTGGGCTCCTTGAGAGCATACGAGTGGAGGTCGGCGGTCTTCTGGTTCATATAGGAGTGAATCAACCCAAAAAACTCCCACTCCTGGTTGAGCTCCACGATGGTTTGGCGATTTAGCGGCTTGCCCACGGCATTCGCCTTAAGCACTCTATAGCGCTGGATCATGGAGAACCATTGACGGCGCAAAGCATTCTCGCTGTAGCCACCGATCTTGGTGATTTCCTTGAACTTCCTGTAAATTGCAATGTTTATGGAGAATGTTTAAGTAAGGAGAATTTTTTCTACTTCTATGTTCCATGTTTTGAAATCATTTTATTTTTTTTTAGAAAATGAGTTGGAAAAAATTTGTAAACATCTTCACTTTACTTGCAAGAATGTAAAAAAATTTTAATTGTAATTACAAAAAAATGTTAAGTTTTTAGTAGTAGTAGGGGCTCGGTCTGCAGAATCTTATCCCCAGCCTCGTGGCCACACTGCTTCACTTCCTCACTGCTTTACTGCCCAACGCCTTGGTTGAAAAAAAAAAAAAAACACCAATGTGGACGACCCTGCCTCATGGCATTCACACACATCTACACGTCTCTGCAATCTTGTCCCAGCTTCACTGCTTCACTTGGTCAAGGGCATGGTGCCGGCAAAAATTTGGAACATGGAACACAAGAACACGAAAGAATGGAACACAAAAATCCAAGATCCCGCCCCTTCCTGTCTCATGGCATCGTCCAAAGTTCGTAAGCATCTGCACTCCTCTAGCAGGAATGCCTTACCGGCCAATACCACTGGCGGCTAGGTAACAAAAGAGAAAGAAAACCAAGATCTCGGTCCTGCTCCATGGCCGTCGTCCAATGTTTGTAAGCATCTGCACTCCTCTAGCAGGAATGCAAAAACAAATTGTAATGAGTGGAAGAAGCTCGGTCTCCATGGCAACAGCCTCACGTCCACACTGTCAAGATCTCGTCCATGTGTGCCTCATGGCGTCTCGTTCCAAAATTTTGGACACATGCACTTCCGTTGCAAAATCAGGAATTCAAGAAAAACTGTAGTAAGTTGAATTTTGGGGGCTCGCCCTGCATAATCTTGCCCCGCCCTGTGTAAAATGAGCCTCCCGGCCGTAGTGCCCAATGTATATGTTAGGAAAAAAACCCAAGATCGCGTCCATGTCTTTCCATGTCGGTTTCACTGCCTCACTTCCTCACTGTCTCACAGTGTCCCAATGCCCAACGTACATATATGTAACAAAAAACAAAATTATATTACTCACTTCCATGGCTCCGGGTGCCTCGGCGAATACTTCGAAAACAGATCATCTGCAGCAATGCGCTGTTCCACCAATTCCCTCTTCTCCTGGGCCGACCCTGACAAGAAAACGATGTTGCACATTTTAAACCACTGGCGGCACACGTGATGCTGGTGGCTGACACTTACATTTCTTCGAGCCAGTCTTGGCATATGTATGATGTTCCATCCTCCAAGACGAATCCACTTGCTCCTTAACGTACGTTTCTGCTCTGAGTTGTTAGTTAAGCTGCAGTCCTAATGGAAATGTGGTGATTGTTTTTTCGATTGTTGTCGACTGTCAAACTTAGCTGCTATCGGATGGTCACACTTGACAAGAACTAAGAACTCAGTGCTGCCACCTTAGCTGTTCTGATTTCGATATTTTTTCGAGCCGTCGTTTTCTTGTCTTAAAAAATATTTATTTTTTGGTGTGAATGTTAAGTGTAATTTTTCCATTTCTATTAATTTAAAAATAATGACATGATTTATGATTTTTATTCTTCACTTTGTTTTTTTTTTATAGAATTTAATATATTTTATATACATTTGAATTAAAAAATAATTTAGATGACATTTTAGTTCTTTAATAAAACATTTAAAAATCATCAATATTTTTGACACTATTGCTTGATTGTGTTTAATGAAACTGTGTAATAAATTAAGAATTAAGATCGTGCATGATTCCCTAAGGCTTTTTTTTCAGGCGAACATTAATCGTTCATATTGTTCGAGGTGGCAACGCTGGTATCCCCCACGCGGGCTTAGCTATCGATTTATCGAACTCAAATTTTGTTTTTAAAAATGTTTTATTTATTTACACAACTTGTTTAATAATTTTATATTGGTTTTTATAATTTGCATTATTTTTTGATTTTTTTTTTACATTTTTTCCGTTTAGTACAACCGACAATATTGCATGCAATGGAACTGGTTATGACCACACCAATACAAAAGAAGAGGAAGTCTACCAAGATCTGTGTGCCCTGCACAGGACGAGTAGAAGCCAGGTAGCTTATTTTTTTTTATTTAGTTGGCCCTGCATGAGCATCCACTGGTGGCCTTTCAAATCCCTGCCAGCTCTGACCGTGCTGATCCCTGTGATTTTATCTTTCCCATGTAGACTGCTTCCACAACAAGCTTTGAGCAGAGGGACTATGTCATCCGGGAGCTAATCGACACGGAATCCAATTACCTGGACGTGCTGAATGCCCTGAAGAGCAAGTTTATGCTGCCGCTGGAGCGACTTCTTGGCCAGGATGAGCTAAAGGCCATTTTTCCACGCATAAGGGTAAGAATTTTCCAATTATTCGAGTTGTATGAACTAAACACGGAACTTAATGCTTAGGAACTGGCTGATATCCACACCAACTTCCTGCACAAGTTGCGCGAATCCCTCACACCAAATGCCAAGATAAAGATGGCCCAGGTCTTTATGGAGTTCCGTGAACCCTTCCTCATTTACGGCGAGTACTGCTCCTGCCTGCTGGGGGCCATCGACAACCTGGCGGATGTCTGCAAGAAGAACCAGATAATCGACCAGCTGGTCCAGAAGTGCGAACGCGACTACAACGTGGGCAAGCTCCAGCTGCGGGACATTCTCTCCGTGCCCATGCAGCGCATTCTCAAGTACCATCTGCTTCTGGACAAGCTGGTGAAGGAGACGTCACCGTCCCACGAGGACTATCGTTCGTTGGAGCGCGCCAAGGACGCCATGATCGATGTGTCGCAATACATCAACGAGGTTAAGCGCGACTCCGATCACTTGGTGATCATACAAAAGGTCAAGGACAGCATTTTCGACTTGCATCTGCTCCAGAACGGAGCCGGCAGCGACCTCTTGCAATATGGGCGTCTGCTTTTGGATGGAGAGCTCCACATGAAGGCCCACGAGGATCAAAAGACCAAGCTGCGCTACGCCTTTGTGTTCGACAAGATCCTGATCATGGTAAAGGCGCTGCACATCAAGACGGGCGACATGCAGTACACCTACAAGGACTCGCACAACCTGGCGGATTACCGCGTGGAGCAGAGTCATTCGAGGCGCACCCTCGGCCGGGATACCCGCTTCAAGTATCAGCTATTGTTGGCCCGTAAGTCCGGCAAGACGGCCTTCACCCTGTACCTCAAATCCGAGCACGAGCGGGACAAGTGGCGCAAGGCCCTCACGGAGGCAATGTGGGTTAATTCATTTTGTTTCTTTGATTTTCTACTTACCCCTCGGTCCATTGCAGGGAAAGTCTGGAGCCACCCGGCTGCCGCAGCACAGACCACAAAATGGAGATATACACGTTTGATGCTCCGACCACATGCCGTCACTGCTCCAAGTTCCTCAAGGGTCGCATCCACCAGGGCTACCGCTGCAAGGTGTGCCAGATCAGTGTCCACAAGGGCTGTATTTCCTCGACCGGGCGGTGCAAGCAGAATCCCGTCAGTATGCCTCCGCCCGTCTGCGATCGCCAGCTGTCCGAGTTCAACTGGTTTGCCGGTAACATGGACCGTGAAACGGCTGCCAACAAGCTGGAGAATCGCCGCATAGGCACCTATCTCCTGCGCGTCCGTCCCCAGGGACCGTCCACGGCCCATGAGACCATGTATGCTCTGAGTTTAAAGTGGGTTTCAAGGATAGTTGTTGTGTTTTTCCAGTTTTCAAAGTTCATTCTTTGTAGAACCGACGACCATGTCATCAAGCACATGAAGATCAACCAGGAGAACGCTGGCGAGTCCATGTTGTACTGCCTGTCGTCGCGAAGGCACTTCAAGACCATTGTCGAACTGGTTTCCTACTATGAACGCAATGATTTGGGCGAGAACTTTGCAGGGTAAGATTTTGGATGATTTTGGATTTAAGGTTTGGTTTTAACTTGTGACTATCTCGTCTTCAGACTCAACCAGTCGCTGCAGTGGCCCTTCAAGGAGGTGTTTGCCACTGCCCTGTATGATTATGAACCAAAGGCTGGGAGCAATCAACTGCAACTACGCACCGACTGTCAGGTCCTGGTTATTGGCAAGGATGGCGACAGCAAAGGCTGGTGGCGCGGCAAGATAGGCGATACTGTGAGTGGGGGAATTCTATATCTAAGAATAATGTTAACTCTTTATTTGGGTTCGTAGGTGGGCTACTTCCCCAAGGAGTACGTGCAGGAACAGAGAACGGCCAGCGAAGAACTTTGATATTACAACTACGAGGTCTACTTTGCACCCAAGGCCATTACGCCGACAACGGCAGCCATTGCTGAATCACCTGGATTTGGAGCCGGACCAGGATCATCTGGAACTAGAGCTAGAGCTGGAGCTGTTGCTGGAGCTGTGGGTGAGACAGAAGTGGGATCTCCTGCCGGAGCAACATAAGCAAATCCCAAAAACAAAGAAGAAGTCAAGAGCCAGCTTCCCAGCGAGAAGCTAGATTGCATCCTAGTTAATACACCCATATATCTAATTATACAAATTGTTTTATTTTTAAATTTCTAATTAAGCACAATTTTTTGTTTTTTTTTTTGTTAGTGAGTGTCTTTTTTTTTTAAATCCAAACAATTTTGTGCCAATCACTGGAAAACGAAAACAAAAACCCACATGACATAACTAAACAATCAACCACCAATGTTCGTTTAATGTTTAAATTGTTTTTGAATTGTATATTGCAATTATATATATATATATCCATATAGAAATACAAAATAATATATATATATATTTATATATGTGAGTGTGTGTAAATGTTTAAGCCTAAGTTGTATTTTTTATGCGTGTGTCTGTATTTAAAAATTTTCATTTTACACAATTAACATTAAATGTATAATTTTTTGTTCTTGGAAACGTCCCACATCGATTTGTTCGAGGTTGTGCAGAACGTATGGGGAAAGCATCTGACATTTTTATATATTTAAATATAAAACGTAGAGAATGTGTGCCCTCACCGGCATTTCCATACAAAAAACGAAGCTTTAAAAATTTATATTCATATACACAGAAAAAAGTGCATCACGTACATACCGCAATATAACTAACAGTCTACCGTATATACTTATATATGTATGTACATCCGGATGTATGTATAACATATAATTGTAATGCTAGACCCTAATATCTAGTTGAAACGAAAATGTTAACATTATAAAAGCAACGCAGCCACAAATATGTTCGAAACGATGAGGATGATGAGGTTCTAGGAGTTAAAATAATAAGGAAAAGCTTTAGAAATAATACGATATACGTCAATATTTACACAAACGATCGAAGATTAGGCCAGCCAATTTATAGATATATCTATACAACACGTATTAAATGTAATGTACCTACAACCTATATAATTATATATATATATAGAAATATAGTCAACGAACGAATAACAGATTGAGAACAGATCGAAACTTAGTTAGAAAAACCAAAACATTTTTTGTAAGCGGATGGGAAAGCTCTTATCAGGCAAAAAAAAAATATTTAAAATGTGTCAAAAAGTAGAAAAGTTTTATGTCATTGTTGAAATTAGAAAATTTCGAAATTTTGAAATCAAAAAGGCCCTAGTAAAAAGGTGAAAGCGGCGGCAGAGCAAAAAAAATAAGTATGATAAGCTTAAAAATGAAACCAAACCAGATTATCCATCTTAATGTTGTGCCATGGAAATCGGAGAAATATATAGACATATAACTGCTGAGTGTTTCCAATTAAATCATTTTCTCTCACCGAAGCACAAAAAAGCAATTCAGATCACAATAAATATTCGAAAATATTCGAAAACTTCATTTTTTGCCACAAGCACAAATTGCACCAAGAAGCAAACAGCTCTTCAAGTTTATTCTAAAATGATTTTAATTAAATATTGTTTGGCTTCAATTGCTAAGTAAGATTTAATTAAAATTCAATTTTAAGATGTTGACTATTTAAAATAAAAAGCAAGAGGAAAGAAAAGGCTCAAAAGTCGGTTTCAGGCTCCCGTTTTAGTGTATTTCTTAAATATATGGTTTCATAATTAAAGCGTTGTGATCTTAACTGCATGCAAATAACAAATTTAAAAAAAAAACATATTCCAAAAGCTGCATTTATAAGCTATTTTCTGTCTCTCTCATTTACGAATGCTATGCATCTGTCACTTTCTAAACGATGTTATCAAAATCGATGTAACCTTTTCCCGGCAGCTAAAAAATACTATGAATAAGTAAATGTTTTTTTGTTTGATGGAACTTTGTCCTGGATTATATATTTGATTGCCAATTAATGCTTCCAGCTCTATGCAAATGTATCGAAATATTTGTTTGTGAATCAAAAATTAAAGAAAATGTGAAAAAAAACGATTGAGAAATTGCTGAAATCGCCAGAGAACGAGGCGCGCTAATAAACGACTTTTGTGAAAGTTTTGTTGTTTAATTGAAATATGTGTTTTATTTATTTTAAAAATATTGGGTATATATTGGGGATTATTTTGATATACAGCTTAATTATTATATTTTCTTTTTCAAGGCTTTTTAGAACTCGATTTTGAAAATTAAACACAACTGGAGATGTAATAAGTGGAATATTTTGATATACAGTTTAATTATTGTTCCATTAAACCTGATTTGTATTTTATTTTTAAAGTCAGAACCCGATTTACAAAATTGTAAATTATAAATAGTTTAGTGCTTATATTTTGATGCCATCTTAACTTAATATAACTCTTTCTATTTACCAATTTATTTTTGTTTCTATTTTAATCACATTGCCATTTATTGTTTTATTCCAAAAGTAGTTCGATTTCTAAATATTTCTTTGCTGATTTTTTTGGTTTTATATTTTATTTAAATCTCTAGCTAGTTACACCACAAGTATTAAAAATTTGTTCATATAAATTCTTGTTTTTATTGCAACAAAATAATGTGTGTAATAATTAATCTAAGCTACTGAGTGGGGATTGCGATGAGTTGTTGGAGGAGGAAGGCTTGAAATTTAACAAAAAAAAAATTTAATAATATAACAATAAAACAAAAACATTATTGATTTGGAACTGGGCCACGACGTCGTCTGATCTTCACCAGCCGCCGGCGGCGTATTAACGGAGGATTCTTGGCTCGAGTACGATTGCCAGGAGTGCCGTCCATTTCCTGAGCGTAGCTGTAGCTAATGGTGCGCTTGTAGATGCGTTGTTCCTGCTCCGATTGCTGGGACTGCTTGGATCGGGGTTTCCGGGGCTTATGGGATGAGGAGGAGGAGGAGGATGTAGCCTTCTTCTTGTGCCTCTTGGCCTTTCCGTTTGCCCTCACTTTGTAGCAGCGTTCGATTTTTTGGCCCTTGCTGTCCTGGCACTCGTAACAGACACTCTTCCCCTGCTGCCGTCGCACACACAGACTGCTGGGGGACACCTGCTCCTCCTTTGATGCCTTCCGCTCATCCAAATCATCGTCTTCTTTTGTTTCCGGATCATGTCGGTACTTCTTGTACTGGGTGCCACTGCCGAAGCTGTATTTCTCTGGCTGATCGTCGTGGGAGTAGCTGCAGGTCTCGGATACTTCGTTGTTTTTGGGCTGCCTGCATATTTCGCACACCTGCCCGTCCTTACGCTTGGTCTTCCGGCACTTTTCGTCCTTTTTCACATTGGCAGCCACTGGCCGGGTCTCCTCGCCCAGGTCGTCGTCGTCGTCCTCCGCTGCCCTGTCAAAGTACGACTTGACAAAGTTCTCGTAGTTGTGCTCGTAATCCTCGCCAGAGAAGCCCTCTGCACTGTGGCTATCTACTTCATCCGCCTCCGCCTCCGCTTCCGCGTCCACATCCACATCCAGCTCTGCATCCGTATCCACATCTTCGTCCAGCTTCTCCTGAGCCTGAGCCTGTGGCTGTGGCTGGTTCTCCACCAATTGCTTCATTTCTGGCAAGTGGACCGCCTTAGAGCCGTCCACATCGGTGATGGCGTCCAGGCGCTGGAGCAGTTTACCTGGAGCAAAAGCCTCCCAGTAGTTAATGCTCCTGTCATAGCCATGAGATTTGGGAAAGAAGGCGGCAAGGGACACCAGCAGCAGCGACAACAGATCCGGCGGCAACAGCAGCATTTCGCTAAAAACTACAAATCCCAGTGATTAGCGACGCTTTTATGGACTCCAGGCCGTGACCAATGGAGCGTTCAGCGTGGAGCGCGGACAACCGCAGAGGTAGTCAGGAAGTCAACGATGGTGTCTCAACTTCTTGGCGGAGCAGGAAAGTGCGAGCGAAAGGCATGATTTATTTCAGATCGTGACCAATCAACTAAATCCAAAAAGTAAGGGGCAAACAGAAAACAGAAGTGGAATGGTGGTAATCGGGTGAGCAAGAAACTGGTCAGAAATGGAATTGGGGAAGTGGAAGTGGAGATGTTGATGGAAATGGGGCTACGCCACGCGCTGTACATCGCTCAGTCGCTGGGCACCGACCGTGGGCGGGGCAGGACGATGGGCGGGCTGTCTTTGGTGGCGCAACTCGCGTCGCTTTTCACGTAAAATTTGCTTCGTCTGCGACGTGTCCAGCTCTTCCCAGCCACCGGCATTGTCGTCCACCCAGTCCTCGAGATCGGCCTGTAAATTATATATAGTGTTTTTGCATATGAGATGGAATAAGAGCGTTTGGTTATCTTACATTATTGCTAATTGGCACCAGATCCTGGGCCTGCAGTCTTGAAAAGTCACTTGGTTGGCTGGCGGAGGCATTTGTGTTTCCCTCGTCGAGGTAGTACTTTACCTGCGGCTTTATGGTAGGCGTAAGCTCCTAGAAGATTTACAAAATAAATAAGATTAAACAGGTTTCTAATTAGAATAAGAGATAAGCTTAATTAACGAAATTGTATATAACTTAAAAGGTCTGCTTCTAGAGATACTTTTCTCTGTAATTTTTCTTAGAGTAATAGTCAACCTTTTTGTGGTTTCATGTTCTTTGTAAACAATAGATTATTTGTACAACAGTTATGGACTCTAGAATTCGAGTAAATATTACGCATACGTATATATATACAAGCAAAATGTTATACATGGGCGTGTAGTTTAAAAAATCTAGTAAAAACCCACTAAAAAGGGTTTGGGATTTTCTTCAACTCAATATAAAGGAAGAGAATATCTACATTTTTAAATTATTCATTAAATTATTAAATTCATCATTAAATTATTCATTTATATTTAAATCTTAAATATTATATATAGAGTATAGAATGCAAACAAGTTGACCTTGCTTATGATATTTATGTATTTAGAACCCTATAAGTAAACCCTCAATAAAGCCTACCATCTTACTCTTTAATTAAAAATCTAAAACCGTTCCTAGCCACCTGTACGCAGGTGTTTCACACTGCCAACTCACACTGAAGAAGTCCGGCTCGGGCTCCTCCTTGGGCGGCGTCGGCGGCTGAGCCATACGCTGGCGATACTGTTCGATGTGCTCCTCTACTGTACGCGGACTGTCGTCCCAGGAGTTCCAGTCCCGTTCCTTGGCCCCAGCACCACCACCACGACCGCCAACCGGCTGGCCATTGTAGCCGGTAGCTCCTGGAACCGTGGCGAAGTCACCGCGCTCCACAATCACGTTCACCGCCTGGAGTTGGTCGCCGGCGGAGGAGGCGCCGGAGCCGTGGCTCAGTTTCCGGCGTCGGGAGAAACAGCAGAGGGCACGCCGGCACAGGGTGATAATGCCCAGTACCAGCATTTTGATTTGTTGTAGCATTGTCACCTTTTATTTACCAAATTACGGCCAAGTGTGACCATACCAGCAGAGGTTGGAAATGCTCTGGGAGGAAAGCCACCGAGAAATAGTGTGCGGAAAATCAATAAAAGCTTTTCCTCATGAAAGCCCGCCAAAATTTGAGTTTAAAAATAATGAAAATAAATACTTTAAACCTTGGTTTTACAGATTTAAAATTAAAAAGGGTTTATATATGTATACTTTTATTTAATCAAATAAAATAAAATAGAATTCCGTATCATTAAGCTTGTTTTTTAGTTTTTTTTTATAATTTATTATTATTTTTTTTAATAAAGGTTGTTGATACATGTATATTTATTGTTAATACAAAAAAAAAGCCTCAATTTAAGATATATTTTCAGTGAGCCATTGGACTGCTGGAGGCCTGGTTTTGGGTCTCGGTCTCCTCGTGATCCACATTGTTCCTCTCGATCTTGTTGCGTCGCCGGAATTTGACGATTAGGACCTCAATGACCCAGGGAACGGCGCACAGGATCATGAAGCCATTGAGGATATGGAATACAAGCAGATAGTTCTTGGTCTTGTCGCGAATGAAGCCAACAATGGGGCCAATTAAAAACATGGCATTGCCTTGGGTGAACATGAACAGGCCATAGCCAGTGGCGAATCTTGAAATAAAATAGACAATTAAGTTAATAACAATTTTATAGTTTTCTTGGGGGCTTAGGACTCACCTTTCCTTGGACAAATAATCGGCAAAAACCAAAGGCAGTGGCACATGCAGCCAAGTGCGGAGGAAACCGATTACAGCCGTAATACAGGCCATGCCCGTGAACTCCGTAATGCCATTGAAAACTTTGGAAAATAACATACATTCCTATTAGATTTCTTGTGGTTTAGGAGTCTTGGCCCATTTACTTACCAAATCTTGCAAAGACGGTTAAAACAGCTCCGGCCAAATAAATATAGCGGGAAGGCACTTGAATGCAAACGGCGGTGACGGCCAAGAAAATGCGAGAAGACAAATCGGCAGCAGCACCAATGGCTATAATAGTAGCAGTATCGGGCTAAAAAATAAAGATTCAAAAAAAAAATTCATTAATAGCTTTGTTTAGAACATTTTTCAGCAATTTCCCGACAGCAACGCTCAAAAATACCCATTAAAAAGCCTTCAAAAACCTTAAAAACTATAAACTTTACTTATCCTTGAAGCCCTTTAAGTTTCTAATCATTTTACCCACTTAATTTAATTATTTCTTATAAAAATTAACAAAAATTATTTAAATTTAAAATTATTTAAGCTGAAATAACACATGGCGGAACAAAATCTCAAACACCAATGAGCGCACACACTAATGCACCAAAAAATTTGACGGAGAGTTGAAGGAATAGCTCCCAGACTCTCTCATAAAGAGAGAAATGAGAGGGGCCAGGCCACACATACACCAATACTACAATATTAGCAGCAAGCATAGAAGACAAAATGTCTTCCGATAGTCGAATAAATGGCCAATATTTTGGGATTTCCCTTTTGTTATACCCTTGCAGAGGGTATTATAATTTTGTCCAAAAATGTGCAAGGCAGTGAAGGAGACATCGGCTCGGATCGGCCGACTATATCATAAGCTGCCATATAACTGAACGATCGGAAATGACCCAACTTTCGTGTTTTTGAAGATAGAAAGCTGGAACTTGGTACAGATTATATTTTTTGTCAGTTAATCCGGCCTACCAAATTTCATAACAATCGGTTGACTATATCTTATAGCCCCATATATGTAACTGAGCGATCGGAAATGGTTTTTGGTAGAAATATTAAATTTGGTATTTTTGAAGAAAGAAGTTAAGGACTTTTTTTTAAATTTTATATTATAATAAATTGAGTTATATTATCATATTCTCATAAGGATCGGCCAACTATATCCGGTGTTTACCATATATATCCGGTTTTAACTGCAAGGGTGTATCAACTTCGGCTCCGCCCGAAGTTAGTATTCCTTTCTTGTTAGGAATTTGTTTTATTTATTGACCTCATAAGCTTGACTTCAATGAAAGCCCTTTAAAAATAAAACTCTAGCATTATCTTTCAAAAGTTTAGTGAATTTCTTCGGCAGAAAAAAAGCGAAACAAAATTTAATGCAATTTTATGTTTGTGGTAGTAACATGGAGAGAGAGAATTTCGGCCATTTTGTTAGGTGCCAGACAGCTTGGCGACATCAGCAGTGAGAGAAAGAGACGGTCTGACTGTTAAAATTTTAACATTCTGCTTTGCGCTTTACATACGCAGGCGCAGAGGCCTTTGCATTTCTGACGGCCACTTCATTTCAATTCAGACGCTTGAGTTAAGCGGAGCGGAGCTCCTCAAACCATACAAAATTTACCAAGTGTTCTTTTACAAAAAAGTTAAAAAAGTGTGTGTGTTTTTTTCAAACAGCAGGTCAATGCTGTCCAAATTTTCATATTCTGCTCCGTGCGCAGGCGCGACGGAATGCATCAGGGTAAGCATAAAAATCATAAAGCATAAAGATATTCGTTACTAACACTAATACGTTCAAATCATATCAATGTATTGGGGTGCCGGGCACTTTAAAGGCAAAACTTTCGCGCCGTTTGGGACTTGGCGTTTTTCATTAGAGAAAAGCAGGAAAATATAAGCATAGCAGGCATTTTGTTCAATAGGAATTGGTTTAACCCATCATACCAATTCCTATTGAACAAAAAGCCTGCTATGCTTATATTTTCCTGCTTTTCTAATGAAAAACAACAAGTCCCGAACGGCGCGAAAGTCACCAACATAAACATAATAACCAAGCCATTTTTTCTCTGCTAATTTCTTGCATGTGTGTGTGCTATTTTTACTCGCATTTGTCGCCTTGTCGCGCGCGCGCTAACGTTTTTCAGTTGGTAAATGTGTGTGTGTGTGCGCTGCTGAAAATTTCAAGAGGGCACAATTTCGGTCATTTTGTTTTGCATCTCACGGTGTCTGTGACTATGTGTGTGAGATGGAATCATTCTGTTTTGTGTTCTCATTTGTCGCGTGTCGCGCATGCGCTAACGCTTTTAACGTCGGCCATTTTGGTTTGCAACGCACGGTGTGTGTGTGTGAGGGAAGGAGTCATTCCGTTTTGTGCTGTCATTTGTCGCCAAAATTAACTCATTTGTCGCCTCGTCCCGCACGCGCTATCGCTTTTCAGTTGGTAAATGTGTGTGTGTGTGTGCGCTGCTGAAAATTTCAAGAGAGCTCAATTTCAGTCATTTTGTTTTGCATCTCACGGTGTCTGTGTCTATGTGTGTGAGATGGAATTCTATTTTCTGTTTTTTGCTCTCATTTGTCGCGTGTCGCGCATGCGCATAACGCTTTTAACGTCTGCCATTTTGGTTTTCAACGCACGGTGTGTGTGTGAGAAGGAGTCATTCCGTTTTGTGTTCTCATTTGTCGCGTGTCGCGCATGCGCTAACGCTTTTAACGTCTGCCATTTTGGTTTGCAAAGCACGGTGTGTGTGTGTGTGAGGGAAGGAGTCATTCCGTTTTGTGCTGTCATTTGTCGCCTCGTCGCGCGCGCGCTAACGTTTTTCAGTTGGTAAATGTGTGTGTGTGTGCGCTGCTGAAAATTTCAAGAGAGCGCAAATTCGGTCATTTTTTTTTGCATCTCACGGTGTCTGTGACTATGTCTGTGGGATGGAATCATTCTGTTTTTTGCTCTCATTTGTCGCGTGTCGCGCATGCGCTAACGCTTTTAACGTCTGCCATTTTGGTTTGCAACGCACGGTGTGTGTGTGAGAAGGAGTCATTCCGTTTTGTGTTCTCATTTGTCGCGTGTCGCGCATGCGCTAACGCTTTTAACGTCTGCCATTTTGGAAAGCACGGTGTGTGTGTGTGAGGGAAGGAGTCATTCCGTTTTGTGCTCTCATTTGTCGCGTGTCTCGCATGCGCTAACGCTTTTAACGTCTGCCATTTTCGTTTGCAACGCACGGTGTGTGTGTGTGTGTGTAAGAGAAGGAGTCATTCCGTTTTGTGCTCTCATTTGTCGCGTGTCGCGCATGCGCTAACGCTTTTAACGTCTGCCATTTTGGTTTTCAACGCACGGTGTGTGTGAGAAGGAGTCATTCCCTTTTGTGCCCTCATTTGTCGCCACGCCACGCACGCGCAAACGCTTTATTTTTAGTTTAAAAAAACGCTTTCCGCCTTGGTTTTATGAAAAAAATTAAGTGAATTATATACATACATACATATATGTATAAATATCTATATTTTAGTGTTTGGTGTTTTTTAATTTTCTTATTACTCACTTTTCTATTCTCTAATAAATTTTAGTTTCATTTATTTTTAAAAATGACTAATTTTTATTAGAGAATAGAATTTGAGAAAAGGCTGCAAAAAAAGTGAAGTGGTATGGTGAAGTGGAGTGGATTAATAAAAAGTGATTATTAACAAGTGTTATTCCTATAATACATAGATACTATATATGTGTATATATTTAATGTATTATATAATTTTTTTTATTTCTATTTATATATTCATTTTATTTCAAATTTTTCCTATTTACTCCTGATTTTCTGCTCTATTAACGACTTGCACTCATTTATTTAAACAAATGAAGATACATATTTATTATACATTTTGTATTACATTCTTACATACATACATAAGAAAAAACAACATGGAGAAATAAAAAGGTATTTCCAGTTGTTAATTAATAATTTTTATTTGTTTTAATAGTGACCAGCAAACAACTTCCACAAAATCATCAATCAATGTAAATAATTAATTTCTTTGTTTTTTAAATTTTAGCAAATGTTTTCTTGACGTAAAAAAGCACAAAACCCCAAAGAATTTATGAAAAAGAAAAATGGTTCTGGAAAATCAAGATTAAACATAATTCTCAAAGAAATCGGAGACGTGAATCGACTGTGACGCCGCTGCTGGTGAGTGCTTAAACACTGTATCATAATTTGTTCTTTTTTATCCATTTATCGATTTAAATTAAAAAAAAAAGATTCTTTAAAACAAAGTTTGGCTTTTTAAAAAAGTATACAATTATAAAAAAAGCTGGAAATTGTATGTTATTTGTTGGTTAGGTTAAGAAAATATTTTTTTTATACACATTTTATTCGAAAATTATGTTTTGAAGTTGAAATATTTAATCTTTGGCTAAGCATTGAAATATTAATCTTTTAACTATTACACTATTTACTAATTACTATTTAAAAAATAACTTAACCTACTAATTATTATTCAACTGCCCAATTAAAGTGACTATTGAATTAAATACCAAAAAAACTATTAAACTACTAACTAAAAATTATTAAAATAATTATTAACTTATTAACCACTAACTTTTACATAATTACTCCTAAAACCTAATAAATGGTAAAAGATAAACGAAATGTGCACAACTTACCCGACTGTAGCCCAATTCGAAGAGGTAAACGGGCTGCATGGTGAAGAAGGTTATGTCCGAGTAAAGGGCAAAGGTAATGCCCAAGACAATGTTAACGTAGATGGGCTTCTTAAGGAGCGTCAAGTCCAGGAAGTCGACAATGGTGCGTATCCAAGTTTTCTTCGCGGGAACTGGTGGCTCCTGGCCGGGAGTCACAGAGGAGGAGATCGCCACCGACTGACGACGCGAGGCCTGGAGGCTGTGCATCATTTGAGGAGAGGCGTCGCTGACCACCACCGGGCCAGACCAATTACCCAGGCTGGTGATGCTGGAGGCCCGCCGAGAGATGACCTTCAGCATCTGCTCTTCGGCGTGAGAAAGGCGTCTGTCTACCACTGGATCCGGGGCCTGGAACGTGGGCTCCTCCTTGTTCACCTTCATGGGCGTCTCCGGCTGTACTCGCACCACCACCGTGGTGGGTTTGGACGGCTCCTGTGTGGCCGGCAATGGCTTCAGTTCCTGCTCATCCTCCTCGATGGGAACCTTTCGCATGTGCCACTCTACGGGATGCATTACGAGCATCCCAAAGATGGCGTGGGCATTAATCCCGGTAAGTATCAACAGGCATCCACGGAAGCCGTACATCTGCATGAGTTTCTGCATCACTATTGGATACAGCATCGACCCCAGTCCGATCAGGGTCTGGGCGAAGCTCATCCACATCACACGATTCTTGACAAAATAATGATTGAATGTCGTATAACAGGTGGGCACCATCAGGCCGAAGGCCAGTCCCTGGATGAGGCTGAAGGCCACCAGCAAGTCCATCGTCGAGGTGGCAAAGACCTGGAGGCCCGTTCCCAAAAAGTACAGTACACCGCCGAGAACGCCAATCTGACGCATCCCAAAGCGCTGGAACAGCGAGCCGGAAAACAAGCCGGCGAAGCTCATTGCCGAAAAGAAGGCGCTCGTTATGATGGCCATGGCACTCGTCTCCGCTCCAATGCTCTTCAGGAAGTCACCGAAAACCAGGCCAAAGGAAGGCAAAGCTGCCAGGGCGCTGGTCTGTAAGACAGATGATAAAATTCGGTGAGTTTTGAACCTTTTTTAATTAAACATTAATTATATTTGGCATTTAATCTTATGCCCGAATAAGTATGCTACCTTTTTTCACATTTTGGGAATAAACTATACATACAAACTGTTCATAATAATAAATCCTAAAAAAAAACCTAGGTATCTAATAAAATCTTTAAAAATGTGTACAAATACATATTTTTCTATTTTGGTGTTTTTTGCGTAGGGCATAGTAATTTTTTTTAAACATCTTATATTCAAAATGCATTAAAACGGGCGTTGACTCAGTGTTAGAGTTAAAAAATGTAATAAATATATAAAATTTGAAAATAAATTATTTTCAATTATTATTGTGTTTTTTATATATTGTGTTTCTATAAATATTTTTCTATTTTAGTGTACTTTGGGCACAGTTTTGTATTTTTTTTTTAAAGTACATTCTATACTCCAAGTATATTAAAATGGACTTTATGTCAGTGTTAGTGTTAAACTAAAATCATTTTAAAATAAATTAACTAAAAATCATTTCTTAAGTTTTCTTTTTTTAATAGAAGTGAGATCGCAGTTTCTTTCGAAGGCTATCTCACTGAAATTAGAAAGAGAAACTTGAGAACCTGTCAAATAATAACATATCAACTGTATTTTTATAAAATTTATTTATTTCTCAAATGTTTATTATCAGAGGAATGGCATTACATTAAGTTTCAAAATTGTAAAGTTATTCCGCCAGAAGATGCAGCAAAAACAGCAATTGGTAGATGTTTTTATAAAATAGACCAGTGTTACAATTATATACATAAATATGTATGTTTAAGTGTTTATTTAATTTAATGAAATTTATGAATTTTCTTATTACTCACTTATCTATGCTCTAATAAAATATTTTTATTTATATTTTTCAAATAATAGATATTTTATTAGAGAGTAGAACTTGAGAAAAGGCTGCAAAAAAAGTGAATGGTTAAATAGTGGCATTGATTTAAACAAAAAAATTGACAAATATATAAAAATATGAGTTTAGTGCTATGTGTAAAAAAATCTAAATGTGTATCTCAGCATACTTATATTTATTTTCTCTATTATGAGTGTGCGTATTATGTTTTTTTAATACATAGACTCTAATAGAGAGAATAAGTTAAGAAAAGTCTACAAAAAAAGTGAAGTGGTATTTATTAACAAAAAGAGATAAAACTATAAAACTGTAAGAGATTACTATAAATAGATAATATATACATATGTATATAAATACATATATTAAATTTACAATTTAATTGTTTTTCTAATTCCTGATCCTCTGCTCTAATAAAGACAATCTATCATTTATTTTAAAAAATGATGAATTGTTTTTTTTAGAGGAAAGTATTTGAGAAAAGTCTACAGCAAAGTGAAGTGCCCCTAATTTTAAATTATAATATATTAAATTTAAATTTTTTAATTGTTTTGTTTTGTTCAATTGTTTTTTCTATTAATTCCTGATCCTCTGCTCTAATAAGGACAAACATTCATTTATTATTAAAAATGAATATCTGTTTTTGCTAGAGGAAAGTATTTGAGAAAAGTCTTCGGAAAAGTGCGTATTGGATTTAAAAAAAACATATGGATTGGGTGTAATTTTTTTTAATTATTCCTTTTTCCAAGAAAAGGATTATAAATATAAAAAATTTAATTTTTGTATATGTAGTTTAGATTTGTCCCCTGGAGGCAAGAAAATTATTTTAAGGATTTAATCTTTGATTATCTTTCTTAACTACAAATATATATTTATTTAATGTATTTTATTCTATTAATTACGTACATTTATTTCCGAATTACGTACAAAGAAGTCATAAAAATCAAGGAATGTGCTGAATAAGAAATTATAGTTCATTTAAAAAATATTTAGTTTATTCAAAAGTTAATTAAAATTTTGAAAATAAGGTTATGCACTCTTTAGTGGTTTTAACCTAATGGAATTCATATTTTAAGAGTAAAATTTAATATAACCTTGGAATTTGGAGGTTGATTCGATTTGTAGGTTACTTGAAGGAGAAAGAACACTTCTTAAGTTCGAATTTTCACTTGCTTTTCAAAATAAGATATGTATTTTGGGCACAATTTTAAAAACTTTAATTTCTCACTTAAATAAATTAAACAAAAAACCATAATAATCACTAAAATACAAAAACTTACAAAAGGCAACGCCATGCCAATACAGACAAGGATGCCCCAACCGCCATCGGGGGCCTCCAGCTTGTAGCGCTTCGATTCCGACTTGGACTTGGACATCTGGGATGCTGCTCCGCGGGCTGCTGGGTGGCAAGTGACACCGTTGCGGCGGTGGGCACATCAATCTGGGTTGCCCGGCCCCGACAGGCAGTGCCCGGTAGCACCTCATGATGATTGCCCGCTTATCGGGTCGAGTCTTTATGGCCAAGCTAAGCTTCTTATGACCGAAGGTTTACAGCCTCGGAGACTCGGAGACTTTCCCGATAAGATAAAACGCCCTCCCGAATTCCGCTGTCTATTTATCTAGCATTTCCGTAACCTTTCAAAATAGAAAAGTAAACAAAACAACCTGTACTGCTCTGCGCCACGCCCCCAAAAACCGTGAGTGATCTCTACAAAAATTGTAATTGTAAAATTACAATTGCAAATCAAAGTAACTTGTTTGGTTTTCGGAATTCCATTTGAGAATTTTTATCATATTCTGTGGCATATCGAGAAAACAAGTTGTTGCTGTGCCTTCTCTGCTGATAAGCAAGTATTTCTTTTTAGAAACTAATTCTTCTGGCAAACAGTTTTGTTTCTAGATTTACAACAGACCCCGTCCTCGTGAGGTGGAGACACATACATACCATATTTGTGCATAATTTATAGAAACTTAAATTTATTTTTCACGCATTACAATTGTTTGTCTTGCAGAGACGCATGATTTCATTCCGAAAAATAAGAATTCATATTTTACTTGTTTTTATTTTTATTTTCAATTTGTTTTACACACATCTAAATATATATATGTATATTCTGTACTACTATATATATAATATATATCAAGTTATAGTTATAAGGCTACAATATCGGCGCAATACATTTCCAAAAAATTTTCAACTTCATACAATCTTTTTATCAAAATATCGTTCTACTGACCGACCAAAAAAAAAAAGATGTAAAAGATATACACAAACTTGACTTTAAGTACAATAAATAGATGCTTAAAGTTTAATATTATATTTTGTGTATATAGTTTACTAGTTTATTTTTTCTTTTTTTTTTTTTATCAAGTGGCAACTTTTTCAGTTTAATTTTTGGATTTACTTTCAAGCCCAAAAATATGCCACAGAATTTTCATTGTATTGCTTATCGGTTGGGTTTCTAGTTGCAGTTGTTTCGTTTACACAATTTACCTTAAAAATAAGTCTTAAATATATATTTATGTATATATCTGGCATTTTGAATATAGAGGGATTTTAAGTTCGTTTCTTGGGATATCTGTTGAATTTTTTGTATTCAGTTCATAGTTGGTACACACTCTTTCCAAAAACCACTTACAATTTGGTCTTTTTTTTTTATAAATTGTTTATATATATATATTTCTTTTTCATTATGTATATAGGTAGTATATATTTTTTGTTGTTACTAAAGGTACTGTTTTTAAAGCCGATCAATATTTATTTTGTTTTTATATTAAGTTTTTATTACTAAATTATAAACTATCTTTGAACTATCACATACAAGTTCACCAATAAACAAAATAGAGAACATCAAAAAATAGAGAACAAAAAATTTAAAAGCACATATTAACTTAAAATTGAATAATTAATATTACTTTTTAGTTATGATGTGGAGTGTGTGGGTGTGTTTTTGTCGTCGTCTGTGATTTAATTAATGTCTCTCCAAATCTTAAGGCTTAAACTTAATGAATAAAGAGCAAAAAAAAAAATGATTTAACTAAATTGAGTTTTTAATACATTTTCGTGGCCCACTTTTCATTTTTTTTGTGTGTGTGTGTGTCTCGTAGATAGATTTCCCCATCAAAGTCGTAGTATCCTTTACAGTTTGACATCCTGCTGCTGCTGTGTTGTCGTTCCAGCTCCAGGTCCTGCCTGATCCTGGGTGGGCAACTGGGCAGCATCCGCCGTCCGACGCCGGGAATGGATGTACTCCACCAGGTACTCGATGCCCCAGGCGAAGGCACACATCATAATGCACACACTTTGGGTGTGTATGCAAATCGGATAGCTATCGGTCACATCCCGAATGAGACCTGCAGTAGATAGATGATGGACAATCCCAGTTAATAATAAGCCAAATTATTGTTTTCTAGGCCATATGCACCTCTCTTGAGGATTTCAAAAACACAAAAGATTCCCAATTTTTTAATTTTGAGATTCGACTTTCAGCGACTGAATGACAAATTAATTTTATTTTTTCTTTCGATTTCTCTGTCTTTTCAAATATGTCAGCACCGGTAACTACTGATGTCAGGTTCAATTGAATTAATTAGTTCTCTAGGAAAAACTACTGGTTTTTCATATTTCATTGAAGGAAAAGTTAAAAGTCAACAGGTTTTCTTTAAGGGGTTTTCAGGAGAAAAGTATGAAATACTAGGCTTATAAGAATAAGGTCTTTAGGAAATCTAGGTCTTTAATATTCATTGAGCTTTAAAAATAGGATACAAATTTTAATAATTACCAATCAATGGTCCAAAAGAGATCACAAACAGGGCCTTGCCCACCAAATGCCAGCCAAAGGCTGATGGCAGCTTTTCCAAGGAACAATACTCCGAGACAGTCAGGGTGAAGTTGCTCAACGCCGATCCTCTAAAGAAACCACAAATTGAGAGCCAAACCATCAATTGAGTCCATTCCGTTTGCTCAGCCATAACTAAAAGTTCGTAACCAAAAAAATATTAGGTTTAGAGTAGATAAAATTATTTCCTTTTTGGAAACTATAACAAAAAGTAACATTTTTTTTTTACGTATTTAAAATTAAAATATAATGAATTACATTTCTACCAACATTTAACCTTAAGAACTTATAAGGCAGTACATTTATTTGAATTTTTGGCTTGTTATTAATAGGCTTTGTTTTCTTAGTAACTAATTTTAAAGATTGTTATTTATTTTCGCTTAAGTCTTTTTTCTTAATTTTTAAATCATTAAATCATTCCGCTTCAAAATCCAGACAAAATATTTTTGTTCCATTTTTTTTGTCAATTTTTTCTGATTAACTACTTAAAAATGGTAGAGGAGTCAATATCTTCTCCAATTTTGATCAAATTATTACGCGAATTAAAATCATAATCTGAAATGTTTTTTACGTTTCTTTCGTGATAGAAAGAAATAGAACCCCTTGAAATTGAGCCCTTTCCCCACCGGACCTACAACGATGTCCATATCTTCTTTGATTCTGATCCGATTCTTACGGAAAATATCGCAAACGATTTCTAGATTAAATTATCATCCTTCAGCTTCAAAATCTGTCGAAAAAAGTTATTTGTAATATTTTTTGGAAAATTTTCTTGATGTTCTTCTTCAAAAATGGGCAGAAGGACAGTATGGCCTAGAGCGAAGGCTATATATTTGCCAAAAGTCATCAGATTCTTATGCGGATTACCTTTAAATACGATTAATATATTTATTTCCCACCATTCTGCATAAAAATCCAAATTTTAAATTTTTTTCTCATATATCTCCGAGAACATCTTCAAAAATAACCCACGACGATGGGTATATTTTTGCTATATCAGAAATTTAAATATTTTTTCGTTTAAGAGTTTTCTATGAATTTTCGCAAAAATATCAAAGATCATTTGGTAGTAAACATATATAAAAGTTTTCTAAAGGCATCACTTTACAAGAAATCTCCAAACTGAAACCAAATTCCAAGCGATGTCAGGTAAGAACTCAATTAGATCCCTACATATACCATATACTTTATATATTTCAACTTTTCTTGAACTCACTTGATCGTGTCAGGGCCACAAAAATGATGGAGACAAGGAAGATGGTGCGCTTCTTGATGGTGGTGCGATCGAAGATGGGCGGCAGGACGATACGGGCGGCAATGTCCGTGATGGCGGTGATGGAGAGGCAGAAGGCTACGTCGGCCTTCTCGTAGCCGAGATTGGCGAAGAAGAAGGGCGTGACCATCTTGAAGTTCATCTCCGCCACGTAGAAGATGGAGAGGCCGAAGAGGAGGTTCAGGAACATCTTGTCCTTGAGCATGTCGATGTCCAGCAGATCGGCGAATCTCTTCCAGAAACCGGCTTTCTTCTGCTTCTTCTTGGCCTCGGCCTCGTCGAGGGCGGCGGCTGCCTCGGCCTGCTTGTCCAGCTCCGTGGGCTTCATCTTGATGAAGCTGTCGCGATGTCCGCCAAGGACGATGCTGCCGGTGGCGGTGCCGACACGGCGCAGTTCCCGATCGTTCTGCTCGAACTCGACGTCGCCGGTGTTGAGGTGGACCTGGAGGATCGAGCCGGTGAAGTCCATGTAGGAGAGGTTCGAGGTGACAGAGGCCTTGCGGCAGCGCAGCTGTGTGGCATTGATCTCCGCCTGGGAGGGATACCCGCCGGACTCGCCGCCAGCGGCGGACTGGACTCCAGCCAGAGACATGATCCGCGGGAAGGTCGGCCTCTTGGGCAGACCCAGCCGGGAGCCGTTCATCGTGTTCATGGCCATTTCGGAGTAGTTCTTCCGGATCGAGTGCTGGTGTGGATTGTGCTTATGGAACAGCAGGGTGTTCATCTCGGGCAGGGCATCCTCTTCGTTTCCATCCTCCTTGATCACCTTGAACTCCGGAGCAGCGACCGCCGACTGTGCACCTCCTCCTGCCCCTCCCCCGATCGTCAGCTGGGGCTGGGGCGTGGGCAGGGCCGAGATGCACATCAGTTCCTCGTCGTCGAACTCCTCCTTCATGTGCCACTTCACCGGCTGCAGCAGAACCGATCCCACCGTGGCATTCAGCGCAATGCCGGCCAGGAGCAGTACTGCCCCCCGGAAGTCGTACGCCTCCAGCAGGATCCTCACCAGCTGCGGCATAATGAGCATCCCCATGGCCGTCCCAGCCATCGACAGGCCCACCGCCTGGCCGCGTTTGTGCTTGAAGTAGTGGTTCAGCGCCACAAAGGCCGCCGACGTGGACAGACCCACTCCGATGCCGTTGATCACCGAGTAGGTGCTCAGGATATGGGCCATACTCGTCGCCGGCGAGGTCAGGGCCAGGCCCAGGCCGCACAGCAGTGACCCCGCAATGGCCACCTTCCGGTAGGAGAACTCCTTTAGCAGAGGCCCCACAAACAGGCCCGAGAAGTTCATGCACACGTCCAGGGCACTGATGATGATGGCCGCTCCCGTGGTTCCCACCTGCAGCTCCTTGAGGGTGTCTCCGAAGAGCAGACCAAATGAAGGCTCTATGGATCGGGTGGCCAGCTGGAATAGGGAAAGGTATGTATTATAATCAAGTGGGTGAGTTTTTTTTCTAGAAATGTTTAGTGATAGATTAGTAGAGTTACTAGGGAATTGGAATTTTTTTGTATTCTGAGATGATAATTTTAAAACATTTAATCATCCTTAAAATATTCTGAAAAGTTACTCTCTTATTATTACATTATTTTATTATCAATTTAGTGCAATTTTAAGAATAATTTTAAAATTACAAGCAGGAGGACTCATACTTTTAATATTTTGGGATATTACTACATATATGATATATGGATATGATATTATATGAAAGTAAGTGCTTTCTAAGGTCTAAACTACAACATTATTTAAAATACTTTATACTTTTTATTTTTCAGATCAAGATACAAGATATTTTATCTAGAATATCTATAGAATTGTTTGAAAACATCAAGGAATCACGGTCTAAGGTTCGGACCTTTGAAAAATATATATTTTTAAACTTTATTTTAATCTTTTATTTTTTCTGGGAAAGGATCTGCATTGAACCTCGAATTGTATCTGGAATTGGATCTAAAAACCCTACCAATGATTGCGAAACAAAAACCAAATTAAAAACTGCATTCCTATAGGAGGTAATTCCAACCATAAACCATAGACCCATAAATCATAAACGCCTACCATTTTACGACTTTTATTCAATCTTATTTATTTTTCGTACATTTTTATGTGGGCCAATTTGTCCGGGTCTAATCTGGAGGCGTAATCCGTGTGATTTACCAACCCGGAGCGGGAGAGAGTTCGTGCTTATACCTTATCTGGAGGGGAATACTACAATTCTCCTTGAGGAAACGACGAAGGAGACTTCAGATGACTGACACAATAACGTCACTACTTGGATAACCGTATCGCCAAAGTGGGCTTATCTTTCGGGGAGAGGGCCCTTCAAAAAAAAAATGGGTAAGTCAGAACCGCCATATAACTCCCCTATCAATGCACTTCAAATAGACCTCCCTGGAGCCCCCCAGATCCTACAGAATCCCCTTAGTTTATGCTTATCATTGATTGTGCAATATTTTATATATATATATATATATATATATAATGGGTATATATATGTTTTTTTTTCTGTATGACCGTCATCGTCTTGTCAATGGATGGCGACGTCAGTTCCAGTTCCAGTTCCATTATCTCTTCATTCATGATGATCAGTTTGATTGATGGATTTTTCCAAGCGACTTCTGTCCACCGGCTGGCTGGCCTCCCATATCTTTATATTTTGGCTGATTCCTGTCATGACTCGAAATTCGAGTGTTTCCAATTTGTATTCATAAAGTGGCCCGATCCCCGAAAACTTGTCTAGGAATTTGTTATTAGATGATAACGATGGGTTGTTGGGCATTTGAATTTCGCCATTCCGGTGGGTGTCAGTTGTTGTCCGTAAGACAATTAGGGAATTTTGGGCTATATATATGGCTTTGCTTAAAAAATCTACTGACTTTGATTTATTTTTCTATTTAACAGAGACAACAGTGGAGGCCTGTAGGTCTTTCCAGCCCTTTGTTAGAGATGTCTTAGTTTTAAAAGCTATTGATTTATATAGACATGAGTAGGTATCTCTTGGATCTCTTGTCAGAGTGTCAAATTCCAACTTGCAAACTTTGCAAATACCCTCCACCTTTTCATTCCCTTCACTTCTTATATAAAAACACAAAATTTTAAAGGTCATTCACATATTAAAACAATTCAATGACTTTCTTATCACCCATTTCCGAGGGACATCCCTAAATGGCTCTTCAAAAAATCTCTTCGAATTGGAAACTTTCAATGAAATTATTCTCTGTTTCCACACGGCTACTTAAAGTGTTTTATTTGTTTCACAATACAACTGGTATTGGACTGCGATTATTATTGATTGTAGGTATATATTGGAGGCTTATTGATTTTTTGTTTTTTTGTGGTTCGAGTTTATATTGCATTTGATAGACGAGTCTTTATTTTTTTTTGTATTTTGGAGGCGTTTTATAGACTGGCATTTCATTCAAAGCCTTTAATTGCCTGATAATTGAGTTATCAGAAATCATAATTGAAGAAACGTCGAAGAACCACGCGCTCGCAAAGTGCTTAGAAATTATTCTCCCCCAAATCGGTATCGGTTTGTGGAAGTTTATAAAATAGTAGTACGGACAGCGGTTTGGGGGTAATTGTTGGACTATAATTGAGTTTAAATTGGCCACACTTTGATTTCGTGAAAGAAAATGACTGGTAATTGATCGAAAAGGAGGATATACAATTCGCAGAAAACGTTTTCTCTTGAACCTTGAAAGATTATTAATTCATAAGTAATTTTAATTTATCCTACAATGCACTAGCGCTCGATCTATTATCAGGAAATATCATTCAACGGGGCATATGTTTTTTCCTTTTTTGTTTCCAGCAGCGTCATATTTTCATTTTCAATTTGCACATTTCAGTTTTCGGTTGTAATTTGTAAATAATATATAATAATATATATAAGCTATATATATAGAGAGAGGCATGTTTATTTGGTTCGACATTTTTAGCGAAAAACAGCAAAAGTCAAACAATAAACACAACCTGGCAGTGGGATTCTCGTTTCGAGCCCGCGACACTCTGTATCGGCTTATTGATCTTATTGATTTATGTTTTTTAGACCCGAATCTACGTTCATCGTCCAGTTTAGATGCGAAATTTGCACAATTAGATGCTAACTTATTTTTAAACATATCGTGCAATATTTTCGAATCCAATTTACACAGCTCTCACTCTGGCTGGCCCGATGGCTGCGTGAAATTAACGTGACACTTGAGTGTTCGCAACGAAAGTTGCTTTGTTTATAAATCTATATATATACCTATATTCTATATATAATATAGATGTATGTAACCCGGTTCTATCTGTATTACTTAACGACCCTTTACACTTATTTGAGCACGTTGTCATTGCGATTCTATGGAACTTTTTCTATGGAAGTTTACTCTCTAGTTTGCTCTGATTTATGGTTTGTTTTAGGTTTTTAGCTTTTTTGTTGGTTTTTGTTGCCTAAGGTTGTAAATTATAAGGAATGTTCAGAAGCCTAAACTTTAGATATTAAAAATATATTAATTTTACAACAAAGTTACCTAACTTGGCTTACTGAAAACTTTGAAGAAAAAACTATAGTTATAGTCTTTAGAATCTTACATATTCTAAGGGTCTACCCTTTATTAGTTTTATTTAAAAAAACTATTTATAGATCTTAGCTAATAATAAATAAAAATCGTTGATATTTCCACCTGTTCTCGTATCTAGAAACCACTAGATATTGGTAACACTTGGCGGCGCGTGTTCTCCACTCTTTTGAAATTAACTTTTGGCGTGTTATCAACTTTCAAGTCCAAAGTTCATGACGTCTTCTTTCGCGTCTAACCCCTCCAGAGATATATCTATATATAGGGTCCTCAGTGTCCCCAATCCCCCAAAGACAGACGTCACCTATTGTCATGACCATTTGATGTCCACCACCCCTCCCAGCCCATTCCTCCTCTACGGACCAGCAGGAAACCACCATCGTAAATCAAGTCCATTCATCCTATCGATTTCCCATTAAGTTTTGCGTGGCATTTTTTATATTTCATCACTGTTCTGTCTCTTCGGTGTGCCCTTCATAACTTCATAAGTGAACTTTATAAATTAAAATGCTGTCTCCTGATAAGAATTATATGGGAAAGTTTCCGGAAACCTTTAAAAGTTTTCGAGTCATTATTTTGATGTAACAATTACGGGTAATTGTCTGAGGAAATTGTTTAATTTGTGTAGTGGGTTCAGGGAGTAGAGCTTAAAGTGAATTATAATTATACTATTATTCATTTAATATTTTTTTTGATTATTTTAAAATCAGTTTAAAAGGCTTAGCTATACTATTGTAAACTCAAAGCCCTTTGAAAGATGTTTAATATTTTATATATCTTTTATTAATGAAACAAAGTTCAATGTTTTGTTCTCCTTTTTTTTTATTATCAGTCACTGGCACCTTGACTTAATTAAAATTTAATTTACATAATGTATGACTTTTATAAAAACGGTTTATTCCTTTTAACGAGAGGCCCTTCAACTTGAGAACTTCCAATTCTGAGTATTAATTTGCTTTAATTAACCAGAATTTTGTTTTAAAAAAAAAAGTGTAAAAAAAAGAAGACAAATAAGAAACCAGAAACCCATTGCAAGATCGTCAGTAAATAAAAATAAACACAAATGTTCAAATGAAAATTGAAATTGAATTGTTGCTGTTGCGGCAATTGAAGCAATTAACTGTGAAGTACGTTTCCTTACACCGAAAAAATAAAATTGTTCAACAAATGACGGACCAGCGAGACCGACCCGCTGCCAAACATTTCAATTAAAACAAAAAAGCCACAAAAAATGACTAAAAAGCTTCAAAAGCAAAAAACTTGAGGTTGTCTTCTCGACAATTGCCATAAAAAACCAAACAAAAGCCCGTTGTTCCAAAGCCAAACTCGAGTTTCAATTGAACCGTAACCAAATAATACAACAAAGTAATTATACAAAAAAGGAAAATAAAAAAAAATAGCTATAGAAAATAGTATATGATGATATTTGTGGGGTTTTAAGTTTTTTTGTAAGAGGGTCTAGTATTGAAGATATAAGTTGTTGGATAAGAAAAGCTTGAAGGTTTTTTTTTGGTGTTTCTTGACCTTATTTTACTTTTTAGATGTTTTTATTATTATACCTAAAATATTCAAAGAATTTATTCGTATTTTCATTTCAACTACACCTATTTTTTTCTTGTTATTAAATTATAAATTATTCCTATATTTCTTTACAATCTAAAGCATTAAACAATAAAATCAAAAACAGATGTTCTGAATAATATTCGCCAGTGAACACCCCTGCCATTATTAATTAATATAAATCTAAAACAAAACCTAAAAACTCCAATATATATCAGCTTTAAATTACAACTGAAATAAGCTAACTTTTGCTGTTTCTTTATTTATATTTATTTTTGT